TTGAGCAGGATTGATACAGAATTAGGTTAGCCATTGTGTACTTTTATGAACCCTCGACCTTTTCTCCTCTATATCTCTCTCCTTTTGCCCTAATTCGTTTTCACAATTCATCCAAATTACTGAATTTCTCCGTTGTTCATAAGACCTAGAAGAATCCGCTCTGATCTCCCGATAATGGCGGGCGCCGGAATGCATCCCTATCACCAGCAGTGGCCTCCTGCCGCCGCCCCTCCACCACTCCCCACCGTTGCTCCTCCGCCCCCGTCTCTCCACCCGCACCACCAACCTCCAATTCCTATCGATAATCCCGCCGCCCGCATGCTATCCGACGAGGTGATACGAAACACTTTTTTTTCAATTGTTCTATTCTTTTGTTGTTTTTGGAAGTTAATTATTGGGTGCGATTTTTTTCCCGTATCTAGGTTTTCTAGATTTGGTGTTTTTACGGGTCATTAATTATCTTCAATTCTCTCCCTTTTTTTTGTCTGGATAATTATTGAATATGATTAGTAATTGAAGTGACGACGAGAAATAGTGGCTTGTGGTTTACTTTTTCAAGGGTTTTAGTTTTATTTTTTGTTGATTGTACTGATAATTCAATGCTGGATGTATGCTATTTTCTTTTTTAGTTGCGAACGATATTTATTTCGGGTTTGCCGGAGGATGTGAAAGAGAGGGAGCTTCAGAATCTGCTAAGATGGCTGCCCGGATACGAGGCTTCACAGGTGAACTTCAAAGGGGAGCATCCAATGGGATTCGCTCTTTTTGCTACCCCACAGCATGCTCTTGCTGCCAGGGATGCGCTTCAGGTCATTCGGTTACTATTTATTTATTTATTTTTTGTACCATATTTCCTACAAAGGTTTACGTATTTGATCTTTTAAATTTCTAATTTTTTGGACTATAGGAGATGGTGTTTGATGCAGATTCTAAGTCCGTGTTGCACACCGAGATGGCAAAGAAGAATCTTTTTGTGAAAAGAGGTTTACGTTTATTTATTCGACGGGAGTATTAGAATTTCTTTGTGTTCTAACCAATTAGGCAACAGTATTTGGATGCGGATTTTGTTTCAGCCTTGTCTTAACTGTTATATGCATGCAGGGATGGTTGTTGATTCAAATACCTATGACCAGAGTAAACGTATGCGAACTGGGGGTGATTATACCCATACCGCTTATTCAACATCGCCTTTTCATCCTCCCCCACCACCTGTGTGGGGACCACCACATCATGGGTACGTCAGCTTCTCGTAACTTAATTTTCCACACAAGTGCTGATTGTAATTATAAAACCGACTGCATTTACTGATATTCATGATACTTTGGCTCAGGTATATGGCCCCACCTCCTCCCTCTTATGATCCATATGGAGGTTATGCAGTTCCTCCCGTGCCAATGCCAATGCCAATGCCTGCTCCAACTCCCGTACCTGCACCAAGTAGTTATGTACCTGTTCAGGTGAAGACTCATTGTGTGCTTTCTGGTTCTTGCTTTTGTTCTCAATGATGATTGTTTCTTTCAGCAAGTCTAATTTAATATTTCATTCTTACCAAATGAGAATCCTTGGATTATGCTCTGTGTGTCAGTGTGTGTGTGTGTGTACACGTGCACATCAACATTTATGTGCATATTGAAATGGGTGATATGTTGCCTGAATAAGAATTTAGTGGTCAAGACACCAAAACTTTGCTGCTTAGCTTTTAGGGATAGGGTTTTGCAAATTGTAAAAAAAACAGTTATGTTCGAACAACTGTAGTATAGACTATGTTTAGTTTCATTTAAACAGGGTTAAAACAAAGGATTGTTAAATATATGTAGTCTTTTAACTTCAGTAGTCTAGATATTGATATGTGGGTCTACAGGACTAGCTAGTTATTTATAGTTGCCTCGTGGCTGATTATTAGCCCAATGCAGTGCTATGGCGAGCAGTTGATCGATTGATCTTTTGTAGATTGCTTGTTTTTTTTATCTGCTGTTTCGATAATTGTTTCTTTAACGTTGTGTTACTTTCTTGTAGAATACCAAAGATAACCCTCCGTGCAATACTCTATTTATTGGAAATCTTGGTGAGAACATTAATGAAGAAGAGATGCGGAGTCTCTTTGTTGCGTACGTTTTTTCCCTTTTTCCCGTTTTGCCTTTTTTTGGACTATAAACATATACGATCGACTGCTTCACTGCTGTCAATAAATGATCACTCCATTGTACTTGTTTCTGGTGCAGCCAACCTGGTTTTAAGCAGATGAAAGTAATAAGACAGGATAGGCACACCGTTTGTTTCATTGAATTTGAAGTAAGATCTCTAACAGCCTTGTCATATTTTGACACCAATGTTTTTAAGATTTCTCAGTAGTACTAATTGAAATCCCATTGCATCCCACAGGATGTGAACAGTGCGACTAACGTGCACCACAACTTGCAAGGTGCCGTCATAGCGAGTTCTGGTTCCATTGGCATGCGTATTCAATATCCTTTTATCTTCATGGTTTTGTTACATTTAGAGTTGGCCTTTTCACTTTCTATTTATCGTTTAATTGAATTGAGTTATGATGGTGTGAGGTCTGTGGTTTACATATGTGATGTTTTTTTCTTGACTTGAGAAACGTATTCGAAGAACCCATTTGGGAAAAGGAAGGACTCGATCCACCAAGGCGGCACCGCCAATGCTAATGGAGGAGCACCGCCATCAATGAGCTACCAGTAGTAGTAGCTCTGGAAGGGGATGTATTCTGTTTCTTCTATGCTCTGACAAATTACATATGATAGGATGCATCCATTCATCCATCATCATCAAGTCATCAGCATTAGCATCTACCTTCTCATATATCTGATGCAAATATAAAGTTGGTCTACTCATACAATATACATTATATATACTAGACATGCATTTAAGGCGATGCCGTATCTCGTGATTCTATTAACCTTAATTGTGATTTTCACATTATCTACGTGTGCATTTTTTTTTTCTTCGTCCGTTACGTGCAATCTGTGTGCCTTTTTTGACGTAAATCTGCATTTATTCACATGACCTGGTTGATGCATGTGAAAGCTTATCAATGATCAACCATACGAATTCATTACATTTCATTCCATAAAAAAAACTGAAATTGATGTTTCATTCACGACATGTCATATTATGGCAACACTTCGAGATCTTTATCATACACGACCCTTTTGTCATTTCAAGGAGTAGGACCATTTATTTCCTCATCAGGCATCATATATATATATATATATATATATGGTAATTGATGTCACCGCTATTACTTACCCGTAGGAAGTAGTCACTTAAACATACAGACCGAGGGTTCAGGCATAAATCTTTACAGAGCCTTGGAAAATCATTAAATATTATGCAGGTTGTTCTATTTTTTTTATTCTTTTTTTTATTTAAGAGGATTTCTTGGAAAATCGTCTAGTATTGGCGCTAGGATCTTGGTTATATGCTGATGATGGTTTAGGAGATTTTTCTGCAATGCTTTTTTATGTATATACTTGGTGTTGATTTACAAATAGCACGAAAGATGTAAACTGCGATTAGCCGCTAGTCGTGTGTAAATCTTTGTGTGGTCTACTGTTCAATTGTAAGAGGGGTGTTTTTCAATCAGAATTCATGTCACAATATTCAACATTAGATGGCTGAAATTCTCCATTGTAACAATCTGAAATTTATTTTGATGTCAAGTTCATATTATTTGTAATGCAATGCGTCTTGAAATTATACAAGAGTGTAGATTTACCCAGTACACCTACACTGTTGGCCGTAGGTTCTTTCATTACAAAAAAAAAAAAAAAATTGATGGAAAGAAAACATAAAAAGCATATTTCTATTGAACAAACAAATTATACCAAAATTTTGACCGTAACGCAACTTTCAATCCTATCTAGTAGAGCACAAAATGACTGCTATTTACTAGTAACGAAAACGTACAACAGAAAAAACACCGTTTACAGAGCTAAGACTTGCCACCCGTCTTCCACTTTTTGATGGGGAAAAGTGTAGCTTTTCGGGCGGGGGAGTAAGTTACTACCTCTTTTGGTCGCAATAGAGAGATGGCGGCACCACCTTCATTTTGATTCTTGTTGTCTATGTTGTTTTCACCTGTCAAAAGTTTCAGCTCATACCCCCCTCTGTTTAACCCTCTAGCCACCTGTTCATAAAAACGCGCCCAAAAATAAGCACCCTCATTGTAGATAAAACAAGCACATAAGTCAAACTTGTACATTCGATCTTTAAATTCAAAGATTTTTATCAACAAGGTCAACAATTATTACCTAGAAAGCAATACGAATTTGCATACCTTTAGGAGAATCCAGACTTTGAGAGAACTGCTTAAAATTGCTAGCCTTGTCCTCTTTCCAGAGGTCAGATGGTTACACATATGCCGATCAACCCTTAGAATAAATCGTGGCCACGACTTCGGGTTTTCAGGATCCGCTTTCTCGTCGATTGTTGACTGATCAAATCAAAAGATAAAATATTAAAAAAAAAACCAGCGAAAGACAAAACACTGTATAATGCAAGAACGAAGATTTAAACACGGTCATTACGTTACTGCTTTAATTAACGATACATCTTCCTAAGAAAACTACTCACCAAAAGTCGGCAGATCTCATGTTCAATTTTGGAGAATGAAGTCTCCAAAGCTACCACTCTTCCAGTTGCATGGCAGCAGGTGCATGGTTCACTGATCATAAAGGTGACGCTAGGTCGAACCTATGGAGCATCACCATCAAAGTTATGAGCAACTCAGAGCAAGTTGGTCCTTGTACGTTTTTTACCACATGTAAATTTAGTAAGGTACAAACGGTTACGTAATATGCAAAACTTAGTCATTGATTCACCGCCCCAATTTACTCTTTACACAATTAAATCTCGCAAAATTGATTAAACGAGAATGAAAAGTGGAACTTGTTGATCCATGGCTTTAAACAACTGACTTGTAGAAAAAAGGAAAGTAGCCTTTAATTCTAAAAGAAACAGTAAAAGTGCAGCCTTTAACACTGTTTCAACTTTGTCTTTCTCCTAGCCCGTACTTCATGCTAACAGGTGATTTGTAAATGTAGGATTATGCTTATAAAATATCAAGAAAATTGAATGATGAAACCAAATCTAAGTGACAATATTGACATACCCGTTTTCTAGTTATTTCCATAAGCCCATGTCTGGATAGTTCAGAGACTTTGACCATTGATCGGTCCCTCTCGACGGCCTTTTTAACTTCTTCATAAACAAGTCTCTTATTTGCTGCAACATGAAAATTTCATTAGAAGATGGAAAGAGGATATTACATACATGTTTTGTCACCATTTCCATTTCTTTGTCACCATTTCCATTTCAAGTCGGCCTTTCCGTTTTATGCTGTCCTATTTTGCCGTAATAAATACTTCGTTAACCTTTCATCTCCAAATATTACAAGGGGATATTTCTAGGGTGCTGGAAGGACATTTGCAGGAAAACGATGGACTTTAAGTTGGATAAAGGCATAACTGACATGCAAAAAGGGCAATCTCAACAGTATGCACGTCGAGGAACGAACTTGCAATATGACTTGTATTTAATGATTTTACGTGGCAATGGAATCATTGACCGGAAAGCTATACAGAAAAAGTACGTGATACATGCCGAATGAATAGAAAGAGAGCCAAAAGTGTATACTTACAATCATCCAACATATCAATGAAATCTACCACTATTATTCCACCAACATCTCTCAGCCTTAGTTCTCTGGCAATCTGAAACCAAGAAAATATGTCAACTTAATATGTAAATCCAGTCATAGAACACTACTTCAATATTAATTACTCCAAAACACGGGGCAACATGAAGCTTACAGGGATTTTAATCTAGCATCAAACATAAAAAAACAATTCACACGTATGAGAACGTTTTAAACAGGGGTTTGCGGACTTTTGATCTGGTGAAAAGAAATAACAACATAAAGACCAACCCACACATTTTCTTTTATATTATTTGTTATTTCCATGTTCAGGTATTCATGAGAGCACTTTTATTCCTGGTAAAATCAATATTTTAAACTAATCTCTGCAGAAATATGGTAAAAGAGTGCAATCAAGGGTTTTTCTTTATGGCATTTTGAAACAACATGGTATTCAATGTTATCCTACTTTTTTAATGACCCTACAAAACATATGCAGGTATGCCATCACGTCTGATATATTAAAAGATCGCGTATATACAGGTTATGGAAGTTTAAATAAGTTTAGGAAGTTTTATTTTTATTTTAGATACTTGAAGGACAATGTTGTCTCTGCAATTCCATTTATTTGAATTTGTTACGAATTGTCTTTTTCTTTCTCTCTCTCTTGATATTTCAATGATGAAAATCTCTTGTCACAGCAGCACTTACTTTAGACCCTCAAACGGCACTAGTGATGTTATTCATGATCGCTGTACGAATGGCAAATAAACATTGTATGATAACTTTGACGTAACGACTAGTTTCCAGTTTCAGCTGAATGACACTCTGGAGGAATTTTTGTTTTGTATGAATAGTTCTTTAAAGTACTAATTTGTGGCATATTGAGATAGTGAATTTGCTTTAACAAACTGAACTCAAAATTCATGCATATATGCAGCGAGTGACACGCCCTTCAAGGTCCACCAACTATACATGAAAACATAGAGCAGGGCTGGCAATTTGATTGAACTTACTTGTTTGGCTGCAGCAAGGTTGACTTCAAGAATAGCTTTCTCTTGTGAAGTCCCTTGACCTAGCATACAATGGCCACCGTTTACATCAATGGAGACCAATGCCTCTGTTTGTTCAATCACTAAATAACCACCATTAGCCAGAGGAACTCTGCAAAACAATGAGACTCTCATCAGACAGAAACAACTTGACATGCAAAATAATGACCACAGATGTGAGACAAAGTCAAAATGACTGGATGTAAGACGATTTAGACTGTAGACAGGGATCAAGGAAAATTTGGTTTAGTATGTTCCCCAACTCCCATGATTGATAGGTAAAGAATATGAAATTCAGTTAGAAGCACGGCTAAAAATTGACATACTAAGCATATATAAAGCTAACAAGAGACGTGCTTCGATTGCATGACATCAATCTTTTTTTCTTCATTTCTTGGGATAGATATTTTACCGTCATTTCAAAATAACACAAGCTTTACCAAAAATAAAGAAGATGAGAGCAAGAAAGTAGAGAAAAAGTTGAACAGAGTAAAAATTAATATTTTATCAACCTTTTACTGAGAATACTATTGATTTCTCCTTCAATGTTGTACTCATCAAAAAGGGGAGTCCTTTTACTATATAGCTCAATCCGGTCACAAAGATCGGGAGCCATCTCCTGAAGATAGTTGGTAACCTGTTGAATAACATGACAGAGGTCAACAACTTGCATTCAGAAGTAAAACAGGTACTGGTTTGCATACCTCATGATATGTCCGTGGAGAATCAACTATCATACTCTTCACCTGAAAATAAGCCAAGATAAAAAACTTATATGCATGATTGACACGTTGTTAAAAAAATACTGCAAAAGATAAGTTCAATGTAGAACATGAAACATAGTTGATGCGCTCACCTTTTCGTTAAAATAATCTTGGACAACTGAGAGCGTTTGGCCCATTGCCTGGTGCAACAACACAGGGAGAGCTCCCTCAACACCTTCATCTGCAGCAAGAGCTGCAGATTTTGCATGGTCCACTATACTCTTCCATGTTGATAGCAGACCTTCCAAATCCCTTTGCAATTCCTCTAATGAATGACCCGAAGCAACTGTCCTCACAGTGAGCCCAAATCCAGGAGGCTGCAAAGTTTTTGCTATAACCCGTAATCGTGTTCTCTCAACACCAGAGATTTTCTTTGAAATTCCTATTGTACTGCAGCGAGTTAACAGTACCTGCATAATTCAGGAAAATTAGAAAAAAAAACTTTTCATGCTTGTGTAGCTTGAAAATATAGATCTTGGAGCATAAAGACCGATTATTAGTTACCCAGAATCTGCTTCTCAGCTTTGGATAAGCAGTCAATGTGGGTCCTTTTGAACCCAAACCTTCCTTCACAACTTGTACAATTATCTTCGAGCCCTTTTTAACTTGTTCCCACTTACTTTCATCTGTCCCTGTAACATTAATGCTTGCATCCGGGTGCTTACTTTTAGTCTCCAACTGGTCAACATCTCCATTTAGCTGTTTCAAGAATCTCTGTGGATCAACCTCAGGTTGATGTCCGACAACACCACCATTTACGTTTTCCTTGATGACTTCTAAAACATCAAAATGAAAATCGTTCTCATGACCTTCAAACTCATCATCACTTTGGTCATCATCAACCTCATCTGGTTCGTCAACGCCATTAGTGAAGGCTCCATTTTCAGGATAATCCACCTGTTCTCCAGGTTTATCAAATACGGAACCATTTACCTCTCTTCCCTTCATAGCATCATGCAACGAATGCAATATAAATGGTTCTCTGTAGGGCCTTATGTCCATGAGAGATGGTCTTGAGCTGCCAATATTTACGAATGCACCACCCATGTGGGGAACTAGTTTTGTTACTACTCCTAGGTATACACTATCGCACTGCACATTGGTTTTTACAGGTTCCAACAATAGCTCAACTAGTTCATCATCTTCAAGAACAGCAATCCTTTGAACGGTGCATACGGAAGAATTGATCAATATAACAGTCGAAACTGAGTCCTCCTGTGTCATCAAATTGCTTCCTTCCTCGTACAGCAAGTTCTCAGTTACGGGCTGAAGCTGCTCAGTAAGTGCTGACTGAGTGACCTCATCCTTGTCAGATTCGACAATGCACTCATTTGGAACCATCTTGATTATAGAGCGGGCTAAATTGGCAGATGATTCAAAAATCCACGGCTCCTCAACCGGATAATTTTCTATTACAGGTTCGTATTGTTCAGGGCTGTTCGTTCCATTCACATCATAATCAGGCTCGTGGTATAAATCCTCACTAAATCTGGATTGACTCAAGATTTTTGCGTTCGGATTATCACCATCAGAAAACTCCAAAACATCTCTTTCCTTAACAGTATCAGTTGAATTATCTAAATCTGCAACACGGTGAGAGACAAGGGATGACTGAAACAGCCAAGGCTCCTCGACAATCTGGTCACTTAACGAAAAAGTCTCGACAAAACGTGATTTACTTCTAACACTAGAATCTTTGCAATCACTTAGGTAGAAATTCGACACCAAGGAGGCACTTCCACAATAATGCAAGATCTTCTCTTCATCTGTAGAACCACTGGAAGCATTTGAGCATTCAGCAACTATTGCAGTAAAATTTCACATGAAAAAGACTGCCAGGAATACAAGTAATACCTCTTAACAAAGCTGGAATAATACCAAGTCGTTGAGTTTTCTTCCCCATCCATGAATGAAATAAGTGAGCAACCGGCGGTCTTCTCCTAGTACGAGATCTAAGCTTTGCAGTATGTTTTCTGTTCCTTTGGCTTGGGGAATGTGCCAGCATAGGAAATTCAACTCGCAGTCCCCACACAGCATCGGATGATGATGTCCACATGTCTCCGTTACAAAACACTTACACTCGGTTTCCTTCATGGGGTCTTCTAACAAGAAAATATTGAAATCATAAGGTATATTAACTGGGAAGAAGCATCAAATTATTCATACTACAGTATCCTTTTCCTTTTCTACTGGCTACAAATAGCAAAAATAATATTACTAAAGGACAAAGAAAATGAAAATACAGGCAATTTTATTCAAGTACTACTGTAACAATTGTCTCCATATAAATATCCCCCAACTCATCAAGTCCCAATACTTAGTATACTAATTGAGCCACAACTTTTTTAGCAATATTCTGCAATAAGACACAATGATTATACAATTGAATAAAATGATAAATTAAGAAAAATCAAAAAAATCAAATTAAAAAAAAATGAGCCTTTGCGAGACTGAGAGTAATGAAGAATAAAAAATTGGAAGCAGTTCATTCACCTCTGAAATTCTCCTCCAATATCCATTGTTATACATACAAGCGGCGGTGGGTTGGGCTGAAAATGCAAATAAGTAAAATTATGAGGTACGAAAAGGAAGGAAAACTCTCTCTCTCTCTCTCTGCGTGCGTGTTTTGGAGGACGAAGCAGCGGTTTCAGGGGTTTCTTTTTATTTTCTGCACTTTCTTCTACCCTCAATCTGTTTATCTACTTTCAAATGTTTTTAAAGAACAATCAAATTGCAGTTCGCCCCCTCTAAAGATTCATTATTCACACTCAACCACGTTAAATTGTTTAATAGTGCAATACCCACCCATTTCGAATTACAATATTACCCCCATTTGGTTCCATCGTCCCCTGCTCCAGCACTCTCCTCCGGCGGATTCCAAAACATACACGAGCAATGGCGGTGGCGTCTGGAGCAGCAAATGCATCGGAGACGGCAGCGACGGCGGCGACGGAGAGTTCACGTAAATCCTCTAATTATTTACCGATTTGCCACCGCCATTTCCTCAAAAACCCCCATCCGAACTCCTTTCGCCTCTCTGTCAAACCCTAGCTCCGATTTCATTCAAAGGTACAATTCGTTTATCTTCTTTCCTTTTTCTTTCATATTGGTTTATCTGTTCTGTTAATTAAATCCCTTTAATTAATAATTATTGTTCACGCTGAAGTGTGTGGGACTGATCATAGTTCAAATCTGGAAAGTCTGCTTGTGAATTATATATATATATATATATATATATATATATATATATATATATATATATATATATATATATATATATATATATTCTTGGTATTTGTATGTAACTTAGAAGTTTAATACTCAAGTACTTTCTTCAATGGAACACAAAGGAAAACTTTGAATACAAGAACTGTACTTTGAAAATGTATTCTAGTTTCTAAGTGAACAATTCCTCGGCAACTTCGGGCAGAATAATTTTATTGCAAGTCGACTATGACGAGCTTCCGACTCATCGTCAAATTCATAAATAGCAACTTCCAGGCAGTTGCACCGCATTTTTTTTTCTTCCTGCATAGATACACAATGATTAAACTAATCCCTCTCAAGTCAAACCTACTTGCTACACTTGAATGTTACACTTGCACAGTTACACATATATAAAATTTAATACAACATGGCATGGATATATATATAGAGTCTCGTTCGTAAGATATCCTATTTACGTAATCAATATAAAATCAGCTTTCTTGGAAATAATGCACAAGTCTTGTTTTTTGAACACGGGCTTTAAAATATCTGAGTTTATGACTTCATTCTATGGCTTCATATTTCACAAACATGTGTTTTGTAACCAAGAGTGGACTTTTACCAGTTCAATATCAATACCCTTGTTATATAAACAGGTATTATATGCTCTTTAGACGAATTAATAGTGCAGCAGATTCTGAAAATGGTCAATTCATTCGTCTCCTTGTTAATTAGCTTACTGATAATTACGTGCAGCGCACAAAATGAAGTAGCTAATAATAGCACTTTTCGAGTTGGTGTAATTCTTGATTTGGATTCTCTGATTGGCCGTACAGGAGTCAACAGCTTATCGCTTGCTCTATCGGATTTTTATTCTGTCAACTCAAATTACACTACCAGGCTTGTTCTTCATGTAAGGAACTCCAACGAACAAGTGTTAGATGCTGCATCTGCTGGTATAAATATCGACTCCTCCCTTGTCAATTTTTTTTTTTGTTGATTATTAAACCATGTTGTAATATTGGATGCAGCTCTAACTTTACTGAAGGAATTAGAAGTTGATGCAATAATTGGCCCTCAAGAATCGGAGCAAGCAAATTTCTTGATTCGACTTGGAGAAAGAGCAAATGTGCCATTCATTTCCTTTTCAGTTACAAGTCCTGCTGTTGTTCATCCCTCATCTTCTTATTTCGTTCAGACAGCCATAACCGATTCGGCCCAAGTCGGTGCCATTGCTTCGATTATCAAACACTTCCAGTGGAATCAAATCGTTCTTGTGTACGAAGATTCTCACTACGGCAACTCCATAATTCCGTATTTGGTCAAATCATTCCAAGAAGTCAATGCTCGAGTTACGTACAGAAACTCCATTGCTACGTCAGCAACTGATGACAATGTTCTCCAAGAGCTGTACAGGATGAAAACCATGCAAACAAGGGTATTTGTGGTACACATGTCGAGTTCTCTCGCATCGAGATTCTTCCCACACGCGAAGCGAGCTGGAATGATGGTCGATGGCTATGCATGGATACTGACTAGCCGGTTAATGGATTCACTGTACTCGTTCGAATCACATGTTGTTATCGAGTCCATGCAGGGTGTTCTTGGTGTAAAGCCTTTGATTCCAAGATCCGAAAAGCTTACTTCTGTAAGTCAAAGGTGGAAAACGAAGTTCGTTCATGATAATCCCAATTATGCTCTGCAAGCAGAGCTTGGCTTGTATGGTGTTTGGGCATACGACACTTTGTTCGCATTGGCTATGGCTGCTGAAAGAGTTAAGCTTCGGTTGCCAACTTCCTCGCAAAAAACCCGTTTTTTCGATACCGAAATATCACTAACAGGTCCTAAATTGCTCGAGGCAATTTCGGAGGTTACATTCAAAGGGCTCGCTGGAAATTTCCGTCTTCTAAATAAACAATTAGAGCCGTCATCTTTCCAAATACTAAATGTGGTTGGAACTGGAGATAGAGAAGTGGGAATATGGACACCTAATGAAGGAATTATAAATAAAAAATTGAAGAGTGTTATATTTCCCGGAGAATCTACGGTTGTTCCAAAGGGGTGGGAGGTGGTGCCAGCTGGCGGTAATAAGCTGAGGATTGGAGTGCCTGTACAACCTGGTTTTTCGGAATTCGTTAAGGTGGAAAAAGACCCTCGAAATAACGCTACGCTATTTAGTGGCTGTTACATAGACACTTTCGATGATGTCATGGCGAAGCTGCCTTATCCCGTCCCATACGAGTTCGTTGCCTTTGAAAAAAGTGACGGTTCCAGTGCTGGGAGTTACGACGAATTAGCATACCAAGTTTTTCTTCAGGTTAAATAAATATACAATACTTCAAAAAAAAAAACTTCATTTTCTTAATTTTTTATTTTTTTTAGTAAATTGTTTTCGTGTTTTAGAACTATGATGCTGCTGTGGGGGACATTACTATCACGTACAATCGATCAAAGTACGTTGACTTCACCATACCGTTCTCCGAAGGAGGGGTCGACATAATAGTGCCAATCGCGTACGATGATTTGAACAGCAAGTGGATTTTCTTGAAGCCGCTCGCGAAAGATCTGTGGCTAACTGCTATAGCTTTGTTCATCCTGACAGGTGTCGCGTTGTGGATACTCGAGCATAGGTTCAACTCTGCTTATAGAGGGCCCCCTTCAAACCATGCTGGCATGATCTTCTACTTCCCCTTCATGTCATTAGTATTTGCTCAAAGTAAGTAACTACATAAAATTTCTTGTCACACAGTAAAATAATAAAAGAGATTAATTTTTAATTTTCGTTGCAGGGGAAAGAATAGTGAGCAATTTAGCTCGATTAGTAGTCGTTGTGTGGATGTTTGTTGTCCTAATACTGAGCTCAACCTACACAGCTAGCCTTTCGGCAAGACTAACCGTACAGAGGCTTCAGCCAGCTGTCACCGATGTTCTACAACTTACTAGAAAGGGAGACTTTGTCGGATGCCACAAGGGCTCTTTCATTTTCGATCTATTACAAGATTTAGGGTTCGATAAATCAAAGATCAAACTTTACGAGCTTCCTGTGGAAGTACACGAGGCCTTGTCTGAAGGAAGTGAAAAAGGTGGCATATCGGCTTTTTTCTCTGTCAGGGCATACACAAAGCTCTTCTTATCCAACTATTGCAATAAGTACACTACAGTTGGACCAACATACCCCACTGAGGGGTTTGCTTTTGTAAGTATATTACAACATTACATTGTTGTTCATAAAAACAAAAAAAATATATATGTATATATATTAAATGTATATGTATTTTGTAATATTGATTCTTGTTTTTTTCTTTTTGTTTTGCATGGACAGGTTTTTCCTAAGGCATCGGTGCTGGTTGCTGATGTGTCGCGTGCGATAATCGAGCAAATGCAGAATGGGAGGATAAAGGGAATCGAGAGGCAGTGGATTAAGAATCCGATGTGTAGTGGTGGGTCCGACGGGACCGTTGCTTCTAACAGCGTTCCGTTACAGAGTTTTCGGACACTTTTTGGAGTAACAGGTGGAATCACAGCAACTTGCGTGGCCGTTTTTCTGTGTAGGTATTTGTACCAGAATAGATATTTTGTTCGGACCGTAACGAGCTCTAGCAATACAACGTTTTGGTCAAAAGTGCGCGAAGTGTGCAAGCATTTCGACGGAAGAGAAAACGCAGCAACAATTGGTACAAATTTAGTTGGTAATAGTAGTCCTAGGTCAAGTAGTACTGTAGTTCCTGTATCATCTGTACATGTAGAAATAATTGATGGTGTGAACACCGTGGAATCAATATCAGAATCAGCATCCGAATCAACATCTGAATCAGTATCAGTATCAGAATCAACAATAGTCTAGTGTATGTAACTGATTAATAATAGATTAGACTTGTAAGAGGTGATTGAGCATATTTTCAGGAGAGTTATATTATTATTGAGCAATGTTTTAGAAACCGGACCAGATATTGGCTCGGGTAAGCTTATTGTGTCGTGGTTGGACTGGTTCAATCGTTTTTTTCATTTTTATTTTATAATTATTTATATTTAATTTTTATAGTAAATAAAGCACGTTAGCTTATTACTCATTTTCAATTGAAACGTAAATCAAACCTACTTTTAATCAAATATTATAGAAATTATAATCTAAAATAATACGTCTTCCAATTTCAAAGTTTTTTTTATTTTGAATTAATTTTTTTCCCTTTCCAATTATTTTTTTATTTCAAAAAATAATAACGCACAATTGTATTGTCTAATAAAACTGCATAATAGAATTTATTTCGTTCTTTCTTGCTGTAGATGAGTGAGAAAGTCGTGTTACGAACAAATAGCGATTTCATTTTCAAACAAATTGTTTCAACACTTTTGTTATCATCATCATCTTCTTCTTCTCTCTCTACTTCAATCTCTCACCTCCAAAATCTCTGCGCACAAAAATTCAACAAATTCTTCAAACGGTCAAATGATTCCACACACGCATTCTCCAACCTCGAATCTCCCACCATCTATTCTCCCCGCCGCCCGTTTCCCCAAACCCTCAGCTTCACTCTCTCGACCCGTATTCAGACCCGCTTTCTTCAAGCCCTTAAAACCCAGCCGATTGTTTATCCAGCCCCTGAAATGCTCGGTTTCTGTAGTTTCAAACCCGCCCAATTTGGAATTGGCCAACAATCAGAAGCCTGTGCTCGCCGAGGTTGCGAGGACTGTGGTGGAATTATCTTCCGTCGGCACCCTTTCGACTCTCACCCACGACGGATCGCCGTTGGGGATCGGCGTTCGCTTCGCCGTTGACCTAACCGGAACTCCTGTCCTTTGCTTTAACGAGTTCGATGCGAGGGTTTCTGCTGATAGGCGGTGTAGCCTTCATGTTAGAGTACGTACTGAAAGGTTTCCATATTGATTAATTTTTAGTTTCTAAAAAAAATTTAACCTAATTTGTGTGTGTGTGTGTGTGTGTGTGTGTGTGTGTGTGTGTGTGTGTGTGTTTGATGAATGTAATTGTGATTTGAATTGATGTGTGAACCAGTTAGAGCAGAGCGGATTGCGGACGCCTCAATGCACAATACAAGGAACCCTTGGTAAACCGGGAGATAGCGTTGTTTTGGGGGTAAGAAGAAATATTTGTCAGTTTTTTCATTCTTTGATTTTCTTGAGCTTGAATTTTACTGCATCGAGAGTAGTGAAGGCATCGTTTGAGAATGTCGTTGGGATTGATGAGATTGATTGAATTGGATAGGATTACATTGCCCACCATGTAATATGTGATTACCTTATGCTTGTGGTTTATGATTATAGTATTATACAATTCGGCCTCGTTTGGTTGGGGAGATTAGCCATGATTAACTAAATAATTGAACTTTATATGATGTTTGTTATCCTCAATAAGTCGTCGGGTTGACCCACAAATTATGTTATCATGACATATTTTGACTAATCTTGCAGTTTTTTCGTTGGACGTCCCGGGGTTCGATAAAATAATTCGGTTTTCGTTAGTTTATTTAATCTTATCTTGACAACCAAACGAGGTCTTCTTGTATTAGATAATATCCTTCGTATCCGGGCCCGCTTTTTAACTACGGACTTCGAACAAATCATTTGATACACTTAGATTATATTGTCTATCAAGCCCTTTCCTTATTCCCGAACAAGGCCTTCCTAGATTATTTCATGCGGTAAAAAATTGGCTAAGACATGTACTCATGCTCTTGGCTGTGTATTGAAGTTTAAAAAATTGGTTAAGACATTTATGGTTTATGCGTAATAAAGTCTCGATATATTAATGAAAAGGTTAGGCATAAGCATGGTATCGACAATAATATAATATAATATCAACCAAAGAAATTTCTCGTAAGTCGAATTCTTATTTGGTTTTTTCAAGTTCCCTTCTTAACAGAAACTCTGTTCAGCGTGGAAGAAGCGGTTTAACGAGGAAGTTGACGAAAGCGACATCTATGTAATTGATGTTGAACGGGTGCTTCAGATAGAAGATTATGCTGAGGTACTACTTAAGTTATTTTTCAATGCGGAATATTACTTTTAGCTTTAAAGAAAATGTGCTTATTTCGAAGTAATTCAGGATGGGATTTGGGTGAGTTCATCAGAATATGCTTCAGCCGAACCAGACCCTCTTCGAGACTCTGCAGAAAAGATCGTCGACGAGATTAATACTCACAGTAAAGAAGATGTTAACCGCTTCTGCAATGTTTTTGTGGATTCGGATTTCCAGGTTATTTCACAATTCAACACCGTATAATTTTCTGAGCCTATTTACCGTTTATTTCAATCGAAATTGAGTTAGTAGTATTGTTTTCTTTTGTTAGATACTCGATGCGAAGATGGTGTGGGTAGATAGACTAGGTTTTGATGTGCACATGCGGTCGGTGCAAAAAGATGTATACGAGGTCCGAATACCTTTCCCGAGACAAGTAACCGACGAGAAGGGTGCAAAATCATCTTTCAACGGCATGTCTCAACTTGCTTGGGAAGTCGAGAAGAACTTTCACGTCGCCGAATTCAACAAGGTGACGCATCTGAAGAAGGTCACGGGATCTTCATTCTAAGTCGAATTAGTGAAGTTTTTTTTCGAGTGATTCCCATATTTTTTTCCATGCGACGACGTGTTTTATAGGAAAGAGGCTACATTTAGTTTCCGATGAATCCCCCGTTGAGTGGGGCGAGTTTTTGGCAGATAAGTTGTTTGTTAAGTTCGAAGCAGAATATTAACACGGATTAGAAAACTTCCATCAAGATTAATGCAGCCATTACTCCCCATTAGAGCAGTTAATCGTGTTTAAATTATCGTTGCCCCCCCTCGATGAACTTCGACAGAAGCTTAGATGGTGATAGCTGAAGCAAATAGCAAAAGAAGGGAGAAAAGCAAATGCGAAAGGGATCTCCATTACCACAAGGGAGATTAAGTTTCAGAGTTAATCGATTTTCCCCATTAATCACAGATTGTTAACAATTTCATTATATAATTTTTATTTTTATTATTTATCTGCAATAATTTGATGGAATAGTATTTTCTTGAATTAAATAATTAATCTTATTAAAATTTAGGGTAAATTACAAAACCCCCCCTGAACTTAGGCTAAATAACAAAAATACCCACCTATTTGTAATTACCAAAAAACACCCCAACCCCCTAGCAGTGTAACTTTTCACGTTTTTTTTTTCTCACCTATTTACCAGAAGATATAATAGATTGTACACAATTTTAGTTAAAAAAATTCGATCAACAGTTGGTCAGAGGGGGTTTTGGTTATTACGGATAAGTGGGGTATTTTTCATTATTTAGCCTAAGTTTAGGGGAGTTTTCGTAATTTACAACCAACTCATAAGGGTAAATTAGTCCTTTTACGTTTTATGTTACAAAAGTTGACTGCTGCTACCAATGTTTTCAAAACCGGACCGGACATCGAACTGGAGAGCCGACTGGTTTTGTTTATTTTGTTTTTTCATTTCATTATGCACCAACACCGACTTTAATTTAATTATTGATTATTTTTAGTACAATTTTTTTTTTTTTTTGATGAATTTATAATACAATTGAATACATAAAAAAAATATATGGATATTTCTCAATAGCTTTGCCACTCACTTTTCATCACGTTATTTTTTATATCCTAATTTTTAAGCAAACTAGTATTTTAACCCGTGCGTTGCACGGTGGATTTTTCGTAAAACTAAATAACAAAGTAGTTTAAATGTGTAACATGAAAAATGGGTATACGAAAAAGAATGTTAATAGCAAAACGCCATAGTAACACGCATCACATATATACAGTGTAAGATAATGCTTAACATATACATGCATATATCAAATTAATTATGCAGCAGGCCTTCTATGAAACAACACATTCGTTTCTATAGCATATCGAAACAAAAAAATGGAAAGAAACAAATAACTTAACAACAAAAAATATAAATGAACACAAATTGTTGTAGATAAATATATCCTTAAGAGGACATAAATGAATTACTGTTCTTAATGTCCAAAATTATAACTTAACGGCACTATATTGACAATGTTAAATCACCTTCATATGCTGCAAAATAATTTAAAATGTGTTAAATGATCTGAAAGTTAAGTGCCGCAAAATAAATAATGTTTAAAAATATACAAAATTAGTAATCAGATGTTGCAAGTCCAGTGTCCAGATTGCGAGTTGGTGAAGCACACATGGTTCGGTAAGTTGGCAAAATCAATGAACACGCACAACTAAAAATCTATTTTCTAACATATTCATATTGATATCCAAACAGTCATTTGTCAATAATATTAGGACAGTGGATCACATTGATACAAAAAAATGTTCGTTTGATCATCCATTGAAATGAAATGTTACTTCAGTAACAGGACAATAAGAAGAAAATAGAGCCTTTGGTCTAATTGCAAGATAGGTGACAATAATGAAATAGTATAACAATTTGAATGTCATTCAGCAATTACGCAATCAAATGCGTTGAGAAACTATGCAAAATTTTCTGCAGAAACGTGATGAAAACAACACAAAAAAAAATCGGGAATAGTAATAGTAAAGAAACATATAGCATAAGATTCTCGTCAATTAGTAAAACATAAAACAATAAGATATGCATGGAAAATGGAAGCTGTGACCGCACTCCGCCGTCAATATCGCCATCCCCTATCCTGTCTTCACCCCCTGTAAGCCTATCACACACCTACTCTGCACTAAATTTCAACAAAAAAATATAAAATCTTTCAGCACTAAATTTGGCTTCAAAGGGTTTGGCATATGATTTTTTTGAAACGAACACGAAGATAAGAATGAACTTGAAGAAATATAAGCCCTTTCGTATAAAAATGTCTGGCTATATGATGGCGGTCACATTTTTGCTTCGAAGAATAAAGACAAATTCGAGTCAGAATATAATGGCTGTAAAACATTGTGAAAAAACAAAAAATAACAAAAACACATATTATATGCAATTCAATACGTTCAATGAATAAAATTTTCAACTCATGCACTGAGCATATATATGGACGAAGATAATTCTCGCTTCTTCATCATCTCTTCACAATTCTCTTCCATCCCCAAAGAAGATCTAGTTTATCGTTTCACTGATATAAATGGAATTTTGTAAGTTTTTATGGAATTAACGGTTCAAACAGAACTGCTAATTAATTAACAAACATCAAAACACTGTTTTTATTTCAATGAAGAAACACAATTGTTGAATTTAAATCGGTCTATTAAAGAAGCAAGGAAATACTTTAGTCCATTAAAGAAGCAAGGAATTCTGTCACAGCATCCAGCGTCACCGTCACCGTCACCGCCACGCCGTTTGATCGTGGTGGTTTTTTCAAATAATAATCTCAAGCCGTGGAAAATTGCAATAGATGATTAGAAGAAGAGAAGTTTCGAGTGATTATGAATATTAAAATTTTGTGTTGCAGTTAACCTTACATCGTGTGCAGCGGTTTTGAGAAGTGAAGAACGTGCAGCAAAGTGCAAAACTCCCCAAAATTTCAGGACACGATAAAACGAAAAGCATGTTTACGTAGAAGGTGGGAAAAAACTAAAATAAAGGAAGGAACGGACCCAAAAAAACGAAAAAAAAAAACTAAACATAGATTCGTTTTTACTTGGTGATGCATTAAATCTGAATGCGTTTTTAAACAAACATAGATGAAAACCCGGTTTCCGGTTTGTTGCCTTTCAAACCGGGTTTTTGCATTTTCCGAGTTTTGGAGTCCAACCGGATCGGAAGTGTGTCCAGTTTCTGATTGAACCGGTCCGACCGGCCGATCCGGTCCTGTTTTGAAAACATTGGCTGCTACTCCAAGTAATCCTCAAGGGGGTTATATAATATGATTATAATGGTCTGAGAGGGGGGTAATGTGCAAAAGAGTCAAACCACAAGGGGTTAAGTGCAATTACTCTTGATTTAAATCAAAATTGTTTTTATGTTTTCTTTTTATTATTCATAAAGTGTTTTTGCAATTAACCCTACTTCACATTCAGCCCCGGTAATTTTCCTTCTTTTGACTGCCAAAATTCGTTTCTTTCTCTACTGTTTCGCCGTGAAATTCCGGCGGGAGCGGTTTCCGATTTCAATCTGCCGCCGTATTTCCTTCAATGTCGACCTCTAAATCGGCGTTTGATGTTCTCATGTCCAACGCTTCCAGAAAGAAGAAACAATTCTTCCCTCCCCACTGCCAACCCTCACCTAAAAAAAATAAAACCCTCGTCGAATTTTCGCAAACCCCGCATTCGAAAGATGTTTCTCCACATCCAATCGAAAATCGCGTAGAAAAGCAGCAAACTTCCGACCAAATTGGACAATGCACAAATTCGAGTGATCCGAGTCGGGGTTTCACGGTGTCGATTAGCCCCGACGAGAGTCTTCGGGAGTTGAAGAAAAAGGCCGAACATTGCAGCGTGAAGAGGGCGGTTTATTGGGGGGAGGGAGAAAGGGTGCCTTTCGTTTTTGTTGCCAAGGCGTTTGATGCTATATCGAATGAGTCGGGTCGACTTGCTATCACCGACATTGTGTGTAATATGCTGAGGGCCGTGATCGAGACTACGCCGGACGATCTATTGGCCGTTGTGTATCTATTGGCAAATAGGATTGCATCTGCGCACGAGGGTTTGGAGCTCGGTATCGGGGATGCTTCGATTGTCAAAGCACTTGCCGAGGCTTGTGGGACTAACGAAGCATATATTAAGAAGCAATACAAGGTGATTTTGTTCAATAGTTTTGTGCAAATATGAATTTTACACTCCCTTTTTTGTTATGTTCGACTTGATTATTAGATGCGATAAAATGAGGGTTGACTAGGATGTGATTGTTGGTCGAATAACTAATTGAATTGAATGCTGGCGGTTGATGTACTCGTGGCTTGTTGCGTGGTTCATCTTATTTATTTGGTTCAAACAATTGCAAAATTTACTTGTGATGGCTTTGTGAATATTATTTAAACATTGATAAAAATCAATACTGCCAAAGCACCATCTTCAGAAAAAAAAAACAATAATAATAAGGGTACATTTATCAGTTGAATACATTCGTTTGATATGATAACCAATATATTGAATTTCGTATTTTTCCCCTGTTGTATCCTAATTGTAGGATCTTGGAGATCTGGGTCTTGTAGCAAAAGCGATTCGGTCATCACAGCCTTTGATGCGTAAACCAGAAGCATTAACTGTTGTCAAAGTGTTTGATACATTTCGGCTTATTGCTAAGGTACTCACTCAATTATCATTATGACCCATGACTATTTTCTTTGTTCGATGTTGTAACCCAAGAAATTAGTTCTATGATCAAATTAATCTTTGATTTTAAAAGCGTGGGACCTACATAAACAAAATACGAGATTTCTCTGTAAGTTATTATGTTCACTATTAGTGGTTTTTGTTTATTTTTTGATAGTACAAATACTGGTAACTGAGGAATGCATAAGGTACAAAGTGTTCTTGATAAAAAAATTATGCCTAAAACAGGACAGAATGGTTCTGAATCAGCAACGTAAAAAACCCAACAAAATCGTAATATGCATAATGCAAATAACTTTTATCGAACTATACTTGCACCTGATTTCCTTCATTTTTTCTGACATCTGGAGTTCGATTATTTTAGTGTGTTCAATTGATTGTTTGGGGTCTATATTTGAAGATCAATGACATTGCAGAGATGATTTTCCATCATAATTGTTAGGGGTGCTATTGCATTATAACTAACGAGCTTATCGAATATTAATTAAATAGGAAAAAAGAGAAGGCAAGTTGACAATTTGTGGTCAATATTTTCATTTCTAAATGAGGTAGGAAAAGGATTGTATGTACTAAATAAGTATGAGATATTGTGGTATGAGTAAAAGATTGGATTTCTTCATAATATATTTGTTTGGGAGGAGAGCGAATCTATCTTTGTCACTAACCTCGCAGTGTAACAAGTGAAGGTATTTTTTGGAATTCTCATGTAGTTTTCTTGGGTAATGTACGACCTCTCAGGAATCCGGTAAATATAGTCAAGAGAAAAAAAAGAATCAAATTAAGGCACTACTAGTAGCAGCTACCGATTGTGAACCTCAATATTTGATTCGTTTGCTCCAGGTCAGTAAAACCATTTATTTGATTTCACATTTGATTCATGTCGCATATTATAAACTTGGATCGAGCCATATATATATATATATATATATATATGCAGACAAAATTGCGTATCGGTTTGGCAGAACAAACTCTCTTGACGGCATTGGGGCGTGCTGCATTATATTCTGAGAAACATTCATCTCCTCTAAAAAATGTTGCAGATCATCTGGAAGAAGTAAGTAAACAGATACGAGTACCTGCATTTTAGGATTTTAGCCATTTTTCTGGAACCAAATATTATTGTTTTTGTTCTTCTAAATCAAAATAGCTTTTTATAAAGAATTCTTGGTGGCTAGGTACTACTTATCAAGTCATTTCTTGCTGGAACTATTTTCCTTCAAAATTATTAGTTTTTGTACTACTTATACAAAACATACTGCAAATTAGAATAAACTGTTGGATCTTGAGATATTTTTCCGGCCTTCAAATTTAGCTTTATCTTCTAAATGGTTCTTACATAATGTTGAAGTTTTATTCGTATAATGTTGAATTTAATCTTTCGTCTTAAACTTTCTTTTCTGTTGTTGTCAGGCTGCAAAAATTGTCAAACAAGTGTATTCTGTAATTCCAGTATATGATGAAATTGTTCCTGCACTTCTTTCTGGTGGTGTGTGGAATCTCCCAAAAACATGTAGCTTTTCACTTGGAATCCCGATCGGAGCTATGTTAGCCAAACCTATCAAACAAGTAGCTGATATTATTGACAATTTTAAACATATGGAGTTCACCTGTGAATATAAGTATGACGGAGAGCGTGCTCAGGTAATAAACGTATTAAAATAAATATGCTCGAGTTTTGGATCAATATAATAAAGTGATTTATGCTGTAAGTATGAACTTCGTATGTAGATACACTATATGGAAAGTGGCTCAGTGGAGATATACAGTCGAAATTCGGAGCGGAATACTGGAAAGTTTCCTGATGTTGTTGCTGCTGTCAAAAGGTAGTCTTTATCATAGCAGAACAAATGAAAACTAGATTTGTAACTGGGTAGCTCAGATACGAAAAAAAAGAAAAAAAAAAGTTGATATCTCTCCATTCATAAAACTGAAAGTTCCGTCTCCTCTTTTTATGCATCAAAAATATGGGAGCTACTTCAGGATTTCATAGTTTTTTAATAATATTGGCAATGTAAGGTTGTCTATTATCATTTTATTTAATCCAAAGATTGGTCACTCCTTTTTATGTGCACTAATTATTTTTCCGAGATAATTCTTCCTATATGTTGTCAAATTTTCTGAACTTCTCTGAGATCTATAGACTGAGACATTATATTATTTTTTTGCAGTACTTACTGACATTTACCATTTGTGCGCAGATTAAAAAGTCCGTGCGTAACATCATTTGTTCTTGACTGTGAACTTGTTGCATATGACCGTGAAAAACAGAAAATCCTCCCTTTCCAGGTGAAAAATCTTTGATAATTCATTTTTCTATACTCTCTTTTGCTATTCATTTTTATTTCAAACTATGTGTCCGACATTCCGACATTGCTATTCATCAGTATAACAAAAGAAACTGAAGCCGTGTAATCGATGATATGATGGTCGGCTGTCAGTCGGTCACAGAACACAGATTGTAATTTCCGTATGCATATCTACTTTTTAATTATTTAATTCTTTCTTAGCCTTTTCTTATCACTGCCCGCTTATGTTGTTATGGTATTCCTCACTCTATTATGTTACTCTATGCCAATATACACATCTTAGATCAGCTTTTAGTCTTGTTTGTTCACGTGCACACTTTGTCTGTAAAAAAAAGTCTAAGTTTTCGATTTTGGTATGGTCGTTCTACTTTTGCATTTCATGTTAGTTACCAAAATCTTTCTTGGTCAGGTTCTCAGTACACGTGCTCGAAAAAATGTTGCCGTGGATGAAATCAAGGTCAACGTTTGCATATTTGCTTTTGACATCCTATATGTTAACGGCCAACAACTTCTGCAAGAGCAGCTCTGTGATCGTAGAGAGGTATGAAATCCCTTACGGCTTAGTTATCTTAGGCCGCCTCATCCATTTCTCCTTGTTAGTCACTAACACTTTCTTTAGTGTTATATAGTTGATAAACAACTCTATATGTTTGTCATAGTTTTGATGCTTCTATGTGGGTGATCTAGCGTATTTCATGATGTTGCTCTTGTTTAACTATTAAACTGAATATAATGATCTTTTTGTATTAGTTTGAATTTTGAATATTGTCTTTTTTAGTAGATATGGAATCTTTTTTCTGGATGATGATTTACTATGTTACTTTGATATCTTCCAATGTTTTTCCAAATTTTAGCTTACTTCAATATCGTCAACTGGCATCAAGAATCTTTGTCTTTGCTATAAACTCTTCAGTATCTTTCTTAGTATTGTTAATTGTCATTTGAGTAGCTCGTCGTTGTTCTCTCGACATATGATATTATTTACTCAGCCCTTGATTCTATTTTTTGCAGCATCTTTACAAGTCATTTCAGGAAGAAAATGGGTTTTTCCAGTTTGCCACCGCCACTGCTATAACATCAAATGATCGTGAGGAGCAAGAAATGGAAATACAGAAATTTCTTGATGCTGCTGTTAATTCTAGGTAAAACTGATTGTAATGGCTTCGAACTGTCAAACTTATTTTAATGCATCAAGTGATCGATTACTGCTGCTCTATTAATACCTCACTAGTTATAGCTTTTATCTAAGCTGCTAAGTAATATATATAATTTTTTTTTTTTTTGCCCCCAGCTCGGAGGGGTTGATTATCAAAACTTTGAACAAAGATGCCACATACGAGCCTTCAAAGCGGTCTCATAACTGGCTTAAATTGAAAAAGGATTATATGGATAGGTACGGCATTCTTGAGCTCATAACGAGTTTGGACCGATAAATACTGTTATACGTTATAATTAATGTTTTCATTCACTGCAGTATTGGCGATTCACTAGATTTGGTTCCAATTGCTGCATTCCACGGCAAAGGGAAGCGCACTGGTAAATTATTATCTATCTTTCTTCGTTCGGGATTGGTATGTGACAGACAGAGCACATGTTAATGATTTCTCTTTGCTTGTAATTTTATTTTTCCAGGTGTCTATGGCACCTTTCTCCTTGCTTGTTACGATAGTGAGAAAGAAGAATTCCAGAGCATATCTCAAATCGGTAAAGTCTACTTCTTGACCTACTTAGTGCTGCTTGATCGATAGTTTTAGAAAACTGAAAAATTATTATGATTGTTAGCAATTGAGAATTTTTGGTTGTTATTAGGAACCGGTTTTTCCGAAGCTATGCTTGAAGAACGTTCTGCCAGTCTTGGCTCTAAAGTTGTTCCCAAACCAAAGGTTGGACTGAAATAGTTTTTTACGTCTTTGAGATTTATGTATTTTCTTCTTATGGAATCTTCACTTGTTACATTTTTTTGCTGTCGTCTATGCCATGTCCAGTCGTATTACAGATATTCGGATGCAATCAGTCCAGATGTATGGTTTGAACCAACCGAGGTAGCAATCATCATCTTTTAATAGTCGATTTTTCTCGCTTCTCTAGAAAACTTTGTTTGCTTAGCTGTTGGTTGATTTTATTTCATTATTATCTTCGTTATCTTCTATATTTGCCGTATTTTCTATTAGGTCTGGGAGGTCAAAGCTGCTGATCTCACAGTTAGCCCTGTTCACCGTGCTGCCATTGGTATTGTGGATCCTAACAAGGTACACATTAATTCTCTCAAAATGAAATTGATTATTAATTTTTAGTCTGTTTTACTGGCTGTTGATCGGAAGACTAATATTCTTATCCTATCTCCACTAAGGGAATCTCACTTCGATTTGCACGATTTCTTCGTGTCCGAGAAGATAAGAATCCGGAGCAGGCCTCCTCGTCTGATATGGTAACTATTCAGTGTCATATTTGGTTTCTTTTCTGTCAGCCAACCTATCTTGCTTATTTTTGTTGGTGATCGACATTTTGTTGCTAATTCAGGTTGCGGATATGTATAAAGCACAGAAGCACAATCAAAAAGACGACAACCGAAATGAAGATGAGGATTATGATTGAGATCAATAAAATATTGTATTATCTGTTGTGATATTAAGCTCATGATGAAGATTGTGTGGGTTGATCGACTAGGTTTCGATGTGCACATGCAACGGTCGGTGCAAAAAGAAGTATACGAGGTCCGAATACCTTTCCTTATACAAGTGACCGATGAAAACGGTGCAAAATCATCTTTCGACGACATGTCTCAACTTGCTTGGGAAGTCGAGAAGAACTTTCATGTTGCTGAATTCAACAAGGTGACGGAATCTTGTTGCGTGCTTGTTCCTTGACTGGACAAGCCAACAAATGATGGCAAATTATTTGGAGTCGCAACATCTATTGGAGCTTTATCAACCAATTGCTCAGGTTGCTCTAAAATAAGAAGGGAAAAGGAAACATATAATTATTAGTAGAACAATTACATGTACAGAAAAATCATAGCTTATGTCCAACAGTAAGAACTCACAGTACGAGTAGACTGCTAACATAATGTATCACAGTTTTATAGGAATTCCCTACCCATAATTTTTCCATGTGACGACATACGTTTTATAAGAAGGAGGCTATGTTTAGTTTTCGATGAATCCCCGTTGAATGGGGTGAGTTTTTGGCAGATAAGTTGTTTGTTAAGTTTGATGCAGAATATTAACACAGATTAGAACACTTCCATCAAGATTACTACATTGTCCGTAATTCAGCAAGTAAAACAAGAAATTGTTGCTATGATAATATTGAAATCAAGTTACTGCCTCCAAATGATTTTGATGTAATGAAAATGAATAACAAGTATTGATGATATTTACATTGTCAGTGACAGAACTTAAGAAGGCAAATTTTCATGCAGCAGCAGGGGTTGACGAAAAGCGACTCACAGCAGCATTATTAATGCCGATCAAATCCGAGCATTTGCTACCACCGTACTTGCCGACATTCGGTTTAAACAACGAGCCAATCATATTCTCAAGTCTCTCAGCACTGTATTCTAATAAACCAGTCGGCATATATCTTTCCAGGTACCTCTTGTAAGGTGCAATAATCGACTCAACTATCAGCTGGCATGTTTTCCATCTCAACACTTTATCGGACAGTATCCATTTGGATTGCTTCTTACACAAGTCATCAAATTCTTCACAGAACACAACAATCCTCTTCTTGACCAGATTCCGATCAATCGCTCGACCATTTGGGTACAAGATGACGTCATCTTCTCGTAAATGCACCAAAAGCTTTTCCCAACTCTCTCTCATGTACCATGCTGCATAGTACTCCGTTGATTCCTCGTACGCAGATAACCTAGTATCCCCCATTAACTCTTCAAGATTTGTTCCTCTTATGCTGCTCCACAAGTACCAATGGTTGTTCATCATGAAAAAGTGGGGAAGGGCGTTTGCGTCATTGTACATTCCGGCCCATGTCACCAAGTTGATTTCAACTGCTCTCATTATGCTCTGAATTTCATTCGAGAGTAGGCTCCGCCCTTCTTCGAGTTTGACCCGATTCCAGACTTGATGGATCTCCAAAACCCGGATAAGAATCGAGCTGTTTTCTTCCTCGAGAAGCTGATTGCAGTAATCGGTCACGAAAGAAACGAGCACCGGAATATTCCCATATTCCGGAGGCTTTGATGCCCTCTGCAACTCCACTTGCACCAAAAGCTGCCAGAAAATTTCACAAGCACCACGAACAACTTTCTTGACAAGATCCCTTGTCTGGTTTCGAATCTCGGTACAGAATTTCCCATCGAAAAGCTCGTTGAATTCTAGTCTCAGTTTATCCAGAGTCGAAAACACTCTGAGCAGACTCAAAAGCTTGATTGCTTCTTTCTTGCATCTACAAACTCTGCTACCGAAATCAAGAATATACGTGAATCCACATTCGCCCGCAATCTTTGCGAAGCAATTCATCGACACATCAGATCCAAATTTGCGGTACACCTCGCTGCAAAGATTGTACTCTTTTCGTAGCAAGTGCCTGACAGCAAACTCCATGTGCTTACCCCACTCATCAATGTAGCTATCTACAGTTTGAACACTGTCGGTTTCAGACAATTTGATATCCAGGTAACCCAAATCGAGGGCTTGCAAAGTAAGTCGAAAATTTTCAATACGGTTTTCCGCATAAATGGACACGCATTTTTCGAGGCGATTGTTAGCAGCCAGTACTTCAACTATATCTTGCATTTCTTGAATATCCCTTTGCAGTGGGAAACTTGCTTCTGTCAAGAGATGCATGTAGTGGCTCTCGAGATTATCGAATGCATTGGATAAAGCGCTGCCGCCCGCATCTCGACAAAACGGCCCCCCTTTCCTCTGCAGTTGCTCCATTATTTTCACAACTTTGGACACTACTTGTCCGAGGTACCATTCATCGTCAGAAGCTGCATTGTTTTGCAAGAATTGCATAACATCTTCAAGCCATAGGATGACCAATCTGCAATTATCGGTAAGAAGCTTTAGCGTTTCTTGCAAGCGTTTGATATTTGTGACATAAACCGACAAATCTGAAACCGCCACGTCAGCGCGAAGCGAGTCTTCGAGCTCGTAAACGAGGTCCAGGATCTTCGAAACGGCAGAAGCGGGCCCCATGGCTCGATCGATTTGTACGGCACATTTCGATCTACGGGCTGTGTTTGTAATAGCGGCTTGCGTGCGCGCCAGATTACGGCTCGTTTCTTTCAATTTCGAGGCGTTTGAATCGAGTGCATTGGCTATGGTTCTTGATTTCTCTATGCTGCTCCTGAGGATTTCTCTAGCAGAGAGAAGGTGATCAATATCCATGCTCTCAAAGAAAGTGATAGATTTATTATTATTTTTGTTTTTTCTTCCCTAAAAATAATTACACTACATTAATTTAATATGGGTTTACCAAACACTCAACAATGTTTGAGGGGAAATGAGTGTACCAGATTCCAACCAAACTTTGCTGCCAATGTAAGAAATTAATGGAAGCCAAAAGATCCCAACAATTCAAGAACTTGCTGCTTACGTGTATGTATGTATATCTCCAAAGTGTGTGTCTTTCTTCTAACCTGCCTTCTACTTTTTATCTATATATATATATATATATATATATATTTCCTTTATATTTTCATGAATTGATTTTGACGCCAAGAGTTTGCTAAAAAGTTGGTAACAACGACATTGAGATATTCGAGGAGGTACGAGGTTTTTGTGGACAGGGATCGGTGCAGAAAATGAAAATTTTAAAGACAGTTTTTAAATGGGTAAATTACAGCCACCCTAGTTAAGGTTAATTACAAAAAAAACCCTACATGTCATGTTTGGGTAATAATAATTGTCCCTTCGACTTTGAATCTTTTTATATGTACGCTCCTTATGGTGTCAAATTCAATATAATTTTATAAATTCCGTGAAATATATTCTAGTTTATACTTGTTCTATACAAAAAAAATTGTTTTTAGAAATACCACAATCTGATATTTACAAGTCAAGAAGCACATCTACAATCATCTTGTTTCGAAATGTAAAATTCGAATGGGATAAAACGACTTTAAATTGAAAATAAATTTGAGACCACAGTAGTCAACGTCTAAGAAGATTCATCTTACTTAAGGAGTGGCGTAATTTATCATTTTTCAATATTTAATCAAATTCTATTTTAAGAAACGAGTAACCGACCCAGAGGAGTTGTATCATGCATGCTCCACGTAGTGACACCCACACACAAACGTGGCAGTTCATCTCATTCCCAACTCTCCAAACACCCTCAATTTTATTTTTCCCAATAAATATTAAATTCTCAATTGAAGGAAAATTATTTCCAAATAGAAAAGATCGCCATGGCTGAAACTATCAACAAGTGCAGAAGAATCCATGTCAAACTCATCTTTCTTCTCTTCTTCATCTTCATCTTCTTCATCGTGCATGCAGGAGGAGCAAACCAGGGGCAAACAGAGTCTGCACAGAGCAGAATGTCAGTTACAGATGCTGCCAAGACTCTGTTTTCTCTCCCCACCACCATTTCCCCATTCACCTGGTTCCACAAGCTCAAGTCACTCTTCATACATCCCCCAAACCTAGATTTCCGTGAAGGGTCGGAAGGGGCGGCGGAGAAGGTTAAGGAGGCGGTGGTGAAGAGTTTGGATAAGAGCAAGTCAACAGTTGAAGAATCTGCTAAAACCGCTGCGGAATTGGCGGAGGAAGCTGTGGGTAAGACTGTAAATAAGCTGTCAGGTAAAGGGGAACAACACCACACTGCTGATCATGAACCAGAACTCTGATCTGATCAATCAACTTCTTTTTTTTCTCGAAACCCTTTTCGTATTACTGTATTATTATGTGTTGCTATTGTTATATGTGTACACACCTGAAGAAGTTGGTTAACTCCATTCCTCATGCTTTAAGAACACAAAACCTACTAGACAATGCAGATATGAACCAAAATAAAAGAAACATCGTTTTATTCGACTCGATTGGCATTAGTTGATTCGATCTCCGATGGTTGATCTGTAAAGCAAACTAACGGATCTATCTGCGTTTATTAACAAAAAAGAAAAATGAAAACAATGCAACTAATAAACTTGTAATGCTTCTCTGTTCTCCCTTCACATCAACTTGCTAATGCATTCGGTGGTTGAAGCTGCTGCGCCTGCAATCACGACACGAAAAACCACGTTCGTTAGTCTTCGGTTTATTATACCTAGTGTGCAAAATCACACAGTGGCTGATTTCTATTGAGTGATTGATTATCCAGCAAAATTCATTTCTTAATCAGAATACAGAGCAGCATTTGGACAAGCAAATCAGAAGCATTATGAATCCATTCGAACAAAATCACGGAATTCAGCCGATTTCATATCTAAGAACAAAAAAGATCATATTTTTCTTAACGAAGAAGATTTTCAAATGAATCCTTTCGAGCAACGCAGATAAAAGTTGCTAATTTGAAAATGAACGGTGAGGGCACCACCTGAAGTGGGGGTCGATTCATCAGTGGGCGGCGGCGTGTTCTTTGGCGTACTGCTGGTGCTCGAGGTGGCGGCGCTCTTCAGGGAGGGCGACGAGGTAGGAGAAAGCCATCCCTCCGAAACAAATGTGGAAGAGAGGATCGACGGAGTTGGTCTCGATGTATTTGGCGTGGTAATTGTCGAGGCCGCGCGCTAGGGTTTTCTTCACGTAGCCAAGGGTGAACATGGGTTTGAGATACGACGGCAACTCCGTCACCTTCATACTCCTTATCTCCTTGAAGAAACTCCTCATCGCCATTTTTTTTTTCTGCCGATATATTCGAATTGGGAATGAAATCGCCAAACCCTAGCTGCCAATTTCTATTTCTCTTTCTTTCTGAGAGGGTGTGTTTGGGAGAGCGCGCGGGTATACCGATTGTCATGCATACCTAAATAAAAAAAATTTATTAACAAGTTCTAAAATAGAGTAAATTACATGATCAAATTACGAAAAAAATTCATTATGTGTGGTAATTATAGTTACTTTCAACTATAAATTTTCTTACACGTTCATTCTTATATTGTCAAATTCAATAGAATTTTATAGGTTTCGTGAAATATCCTTTAGTTTGTACTCGTTTAGTGCAAAAAAAGTAATTTTTGATGCACCACAATCTGATTCGTACAAGCAAGAGACACATTTTATGATCATCTTATTTCAATATGTGGAGCCGTAATGGGGTCAAACAGGTACAAACTAGAGAATATTTCACATAATGTAAAAGATTCCATTAAATTTGACTACACAAGGATGAAAGTGTAATAAGATTCATAGTTGAAGAAGTGATTGTAATTACCAAAACATAACGGTCTCTTTTGTAATTTGACATTAACTCAGGGGTGGCCGCAATTTACTCTTAAAAATGTTTTAAAAAGAAAAGAACTTTTTAATTAAGTTACTTGGCATCCAAAAATATTCTTTACATACTAATATGAAACTATAGGAACAATTTCTTTTATAAATAACCACAATAATAATTTACTGTTACAAAACGAAAAAAATCGAGCAGCTAAAATACACCGAAATGCCAAAAACCGATGCCCTCTTATTATTTATGGACGAAAATAGTAATAGTAATAATAATAACAATAATAATAAAAAGGTGGAAGGGGCAAGAACAAAAAACAAAGATAAATAAACAAATAGGTACACAAAACCAATATTTCAAACAAACCAAACAGAGTGTGAAAAAAAATATTGATCAACGGGTTTCATCCTCAAGGTTACGGAAACCTGCAGTGAGATCGTCGTTCAGTTTCTTAAACTTCGCAACCAAAGTTTCCTCTCCTTCTGCTGGATCTTCGAATTTCTGTGAACTGCATGCATCATCGATGACATCATCGTTATTACAAAAATATTGATGTGGTTATAATTATATACGCATATATATAATTAGAGTACTTACACGAGACGGTAAAACAAATCTCCCATACGATGCTTGATTAGGGAGTAAGTTATCTTCTGACCATCCATACCAGCTCCTCGCTCCGTTGCCTGCAGATACATTATCAATAATATGAACACCAATTTTAAATCTCGATAAATCATTTAATAGAATATTAAAATGAGGATAATAAGAAAAAAGGGAACATGTGCTAACAACTACTTTACCTGATTAGCCAGATTGTAGAAATGAATAATGTTGCGCATCATCCAAACAGACTTGTAGAACGGGCAAAACTTGTCGTATCTGTTAGTTTGGAATGGGTAAAAATGTAAATATCTCAGGAAAAAAATTCAGTCTTTGATTGTCAAAGAAAATATCGAACACGAAACGGAATTTGCAAGCACTAACGCTGTGAATGCATTCTGGGCAAGATAGTCCTCTCTCAAGAGCTTAGCTGTTTCAAGGGTGATTTTATCTGTTTCGGCTAATGCGTCTTTTCCGACCAGCTGCAAAATTACGACACCTCAATTACAACTGTACTACACAAATCTCCACTGATACATTTTAATGGTTTCTGTTTACTTCTTGGTCAACAATTTTCTAACGGGAAATACGAAACCAGTCGAATCTAAAAGAGAATAACATACCTGCACAATTTCGTTCAAATCATCCTCTCTCTGCAGGACTTCACGAGCTTTTGTCCTGATGTCGATGAAATCCGAATCGAACTTGTCGTAGAACGATTCGAGTGCCTGAAAAAAGCAAGTGGCAGCATCGTAAAAATGCATGCAAAGGAAACACTTTGAAACTTGCTTGTTAAAAATGAGCATAAAATCTGAAGGAAATAAAACATACCCCTGAATACTTTGAGTAAGAAATAAGCCAGTTTACAGAAGGGAAATGTTTCCTCTGTGCCAATTTCTTGTCAAGGCCCCAGAAAACCTGAAACATGGCAATGAGTACAGATTATATGATAAGTACGGTGCGTAGAAAACGAATATGCATGCAGCGCTTGCACTGTTCAAATTTAATTTTCACCTGAACAATACTGAGTGTAGCAGATGTAACAGGATCAGAGAAATCTCCTCCTGGAGGTGAAACAGCACCGACAATGGTGACACTGCCAGTTCTTTCAGGTCCACCTAGACACTTGACTTTACCAGCACGTTCATAGAAGGAAGCCAAACGAGCTGCCAAATAAGCAGGGTATCCACTGTCTGCAGGCATCTCAGCCTGCACGGAAACAATGGCGCTGAGTCAGCACAGTAAAGAGCATTGAATTTTGAAGAAAGAAAAAACGGTGACGAGTCAGCACAATGGTTGTTTGTGTGCTCACTAACTGTGATAAACAATTATTACACTGTTTTTACGTTCTTCATTGTACAATAAATATAAAGATACTCAAGTTTCCACTTGGAAAAATTCAGTACAACTTGACTAGCAGGTTTGTCTCGACATGGAAAATTTATCGACAGTCCATGACAATAATCCACAACACAAAAGATTTGAAAATAAGCCAATTTTGTAATCATGAGAAATCTTAGGATGCATACCAGACGACCAGAAATTTCACGCAATGCTTCTGCCCATCGAGATGTAGAATCTGCCATCATACTGACATTGTAGCCCATATCTCTAAAATATTCAGCTATAGTGATTCCTGAATATCAATTATCAAGCTTAAAAGTCAAATTTGGAGCATAAAACAACAGTTGTACTACATTCCAAACAAAAGAATCACAAACGATAAAGATGCAGTTTTGATATGTGCAGAAGATTACCCATGCACATGTCTTAACAGATTCTTCAATCAGAAAAACAATGTACCTGTGTAAATTGAAGCCTCTCGAGCAGCCACAGGCATGTTAGAAGTGTTAGCTACCAATGTAGTACGCTTCATAACAGATTCTTCTCGACCATCGGGCAAGGTCATTGTCAATTGAGGGAAATCCATAAGCACCTACAGTTGACATATCTAGGTTAAACATTTGGAAGATGTCTTAATAGCTAATTAGAAAAATGAAAGCAAAACTATGTACCTCTGCCATTTCATTTCCTCTTTCTCCACAACCGACATAAACCACAGTGTCGGAGTTAGAGTACTGCATATCAAACAAACGGAATAAGTAAAAGCTTTTGTAACTGAAACAAAATCATTATCACAAATTGCCAACAAAATTAAGAAGCTAATGCAAGTAATTAAAATTTCACCTTGGAAAGGGCCTGACTGATAACAGTTTTTCCACAACCAAATGCACCGGGAATGGCACAAGTACCACCGAGGACAGAAGGGAAGAGAGCATCAAGAACACGCTGAATGAAAAACAAAGTTATTATGTAGCACTACATCAAGCAAAAAATCATAGAAAATGAGAATGTTCGAAAGCATAATTTAATTATTTATTATACAGTTACCTGTCCTGTCAAGAGGGGAGTATCGGCAGCAAGCTTTGAAGCTACAGGCCTAGGTGTACGTACAGGCCATGTCTACAGAAAAGGAGGCATGTCAAATTGAATTTCTTTTGCTTTTAAGAATAATAACAAGTCACTCGTATTTCAAATTTTCCACAAGTAAGTAGGCTGACCTGGAGCATGGTGAATTGTTTTTTGACCCCTTGAAATTCAAGCTCGAGGACTGTATCCTGCAATTCAGACAATTCAATGAAACTGAACTTTAACTTTTACCCTAGAAAATAGAAATATTATATTGTAATATACAGCAGGTTGCATAGAAACAAACCTTCAACGAGTAATGGCCAGCTGGTGCGATGTAGGTTATCTTCCCCATAGCATCAGGTGGAAGAGCAACATGATGTTGCATTAAACTGTTTTCAAATACATTCTGCACAAACAATTGATTTAGAAAAAGAAAAAAAAAGCCGGTGAACTGAGCAAGTTTTTCATCGATATAATTTTCAACTTTCTGAAAGAAAAAACAAGCCGGTCAAACTTACGGCATACAAGTCTCCACCAGTCAAATGATCTCCCTCTCCTGCCATTGACAATCATAACAAAATAATAAGGATGCGAGCATCGGTATTTTCTACAATTAAATTAATCAATTAAACATAACATTAAATTATTCAATGAAATGTCTTTCAGGCACCTATTTTCTTCGGGTTAAACTCCCAAAGAGTATCTTTATCAAGAGCCGGGACAGATACACCACGAGGAATATAGACATCACCAGATTTAATTGCAATTGTTTTCAGAGGCCTCTGCATTGAGTATTTAACATCCATCGGATGCAATCAGAAAGAACATATATTGTATGGCAAAACAACTAATTCCGAAAACTTGGAGAGGCGGAAATTTACCTGAATGCCATCAAAGATATTCCCCAAAATTCCAGGACCCAATTCCACTGATAAAGGCTGTAAAAGTTGGCAAATGAGTATGGGATAAAGTTTTTCAGTCAATACAAAAACCCTTCACAAAAAATCAAGTTAATGATGTAACGTGATAACCTTGTGGGTTCGAAGAACGGGATCGTTCACCATTAGCCCAGCCGTTTCCTCATATACTGCAATAAAGCTCAAAATGATTCTAGAAACCAACAGCCAGCTATCATATTCATTTGCATTTTGAAATTAAAAAATCGAGAATGTTAAAAAGAAACCCTAACCTTGAATAGTGGCAGAATCTCCTTCCAACCGGATAATTTCCCCAATAAGGTTGTCGTGTCCAACTCGAACAAGTTCATACATAGCAGCTCCTGCCATTCCATCTGCAACAACCACTGGTCCAGACACCTGTGGAAAAAAGATTAATGATATGAAACACTATGAAGGATGAAGTCGCTAATTTATCGTAAGATTTTTTACTAGATGTTAATAGCTTAACCAAAATAACAATTTTAATTTTATCAGCAAGAAACTTATCCCCCCACGTCTTTTATATCTTAATGCATCGGTGGACGGAAAAGGGCTATGTTAAAATCACAAGTATTTTGCGCAGCGCCTCAAAACATTAAACGATCTCACGGGAAAAGACTAGAGATGGTATACAATAGATCTTTAGGTACCACTCCGTTAGAATGATATCAAAATACTATAATGACAAGGAAAGTTAATTAATAAAGAACCTTAAAAAAGAAAAGGTTTATCCTAAAAATTTAGCCATAAAGAAAATCTGTCAGCAATATAGATGAACTAACAAACAGTTTGATTTGACAGTGAGGATAAAATTGTTGCAGCACTGTTTACTTTCCTTCAATACAATCCTCAAAATGGAACCTGATTACCAAGCTCAATCCTATTCAGGTAAATGGAATGACATCATTGTGTGGTGATATTACCACAAAGAAAAAACCTAAGAGGTATAGAAAGAACACCACGTGTAAAGGCAAAAAGTAAGGTAATAACAGACTTTGCAATGATAAAGTAGTGATCTTGAAAAAAACAAAACGCAAATAAAACAAGTCAAATAGTATACAAGGGCTCCAATTTTTTTGGATCAACCCTTGAAATCTCGAGAACATGAAACCAAGCCAATTAGGGCAACAGATAACTTAACAAACCAATGGGAAGAAATATACATAGTAATTCGCACAAATACCAAAAACCAAAATCAATCGGAGGTATGTCTAAGTAATTGGCAGCAATTCAATTACCACAAATATATATACAGGAGAGAGAGAGAGAGAGAGAGAGAGAGAGAGAGAGAGAGAGAGAGAGAGAGAGTAATGGAGGGAAGTGGAAGAACCTTGCGAACGTAACCGTACTCGCTCTCCTTTTCGGCATCTTCGAAGGTGGTCAAGGGGCCTCCATAGACAGACGGCATTTTTTTTTTTTCAGATTAAGCAGATCGAATTCAGAAGAAGAAGAGAATTAATTGTACAGAGCGAAGAACAGGATCTGGTGGGTGATGATGGAGATGAAGAAGAAGACTTCGTTGCTGGTTGGGGGTTCCAAATCCAATCCCGTTATTATTTTTATTATTATTCAATCAAGTGCGTGTCTGTGTGAGAGAGAAAGACAGGAGAGAAAACGTGACAAAGTGAATGATGTAGTTGCTGTTTGTTGTCACTGTTAAAGATTTTCTTTTATTAATATAAAATCCTAAACCCCCCACATCAATTTTAATTACAACCACAGACTTTTTATTTTTTGACCGTTTCAAGTCATATTCAACAAAAATAATAATAAAATTAAAATATATATATTGTTTATTTCTTGGTTTAATCCCAGTTTGCACCCTTGAAATTGAATATTTTGGCACTTTGCAGTTTGCACCCTTGAAAAATAATAATAGCACTTTGCACCCTCAAACATAATAAATTATTCATAATGCATCCTTAATTGAATGATAGTATTATGTTTTGATGGTGTAAAATGCTATTAATTTATTTCGAAGGTGCAAAGTGTTAAAATGGTATATTTCAAGGGTGCAAAGTGGAATTAAGCCTTATTTCTTTGGCAAAAATTGAAATTTGGATTTAAATGAGGATAAATTATTGGCAACCCCCTGATGTAAGGTCAGATTACGAAAAAACTCCCTCTTGTTTGAGTTATTAAACTACCCTCAACTATAAATCTTATTATACGTCCACCTTTACGGTGTCAAATTTAACAAAATCTTATAGATTTTGTAGAATGCTCTCTAGTTTGTAGTGCAAAAATACAGTTTCTGATGCACCCCAATCTGATATCTACAAGCCAACCGACACATCTTATGATCGTCTCATTTCAAAATGTGGAGTTGAAATGGAGTAAAACATGTACAAACTGGAAAATATTCTACATAATCAAGAAGATTCCACTAAATTTGACACTGCAAGAATAATCGTGTAAGAAGATTCATAGTTGAAGGAGGTGATTGTAATTACCTAAACAATATAAACTTTTTCGTAATTTGACATTGACTAAGAAGTAGCCATAATTTACCCTTTAAATAATAAATCTTTTTTCATATTTATTCAAGAGCAATAAAGCCACAACTTCTTTTGGATGGATTTTGTATGGTTGGTTACATATTTTCCTGTCAATTGTAGTTGAACACAATAAAACAAACATCAAAGTTTTGGAGTATATAGATAAACGATAAAGATATAACCGATGTACACTTTAAACTGTATAACATGTGTTTCATTACTATCATAGATTTGACCAGTTTCTTCTATAAGCAACGAAAACTCCCTTTACCTTCACCTTCGCATATCGTGTGAAATACATCCGATAAATCTTTATCATTCATTCACGCACATATGTTCAGTCACGAGGCTAAAAAAACTAGTAAAGTACAAAGTCCAACTAAATTTGATCAAAACTAAAAATCACCAGTGAAACATATAAGTTTAAGAACCAAACAAAGTGTAACTTCTCATCTCTGGTAAGAACACGACCAGGAGCAAAGTTTCTATGATCGGCTGCAACAAGTGATCGATGGCAAACGTAGCGACTAGCACTGCAGCAAGTAAAAAAAAAAGCCGACTTAAATGCTCGTGAAGAAGCTAATCGACAAACCCATAGCACACAACGAATCTCAGTCACCGTTAATTTATTTATCACACACAGCAAGCTACCGATATTGTTCTGTACAATTGGAAGTCACAAAGGCATTACATAACTAGCTTAATCAAGAAGTCGAAAATAGGCTCATACATTCCCCCAACCATGTAAAACTATAGAAAGTACATTGACTAGAACGAAGAAGAAAATATACGTATGAACAAGAACATGCTTACTGCAGAAGCATGGAGAAAGATTATGTGTTATCTTGAACAGAATTTGAAGCATCTCTTTTCCCGGAAAACCTCGCCAAACACGTGTTGTTCGTTTCTGAATTCTCAACAACCATGTAGAGGCACAACAAGCACAATCCTGCAGCAAGCCAACACATTAAGATTCCTACGGTAACTAGAAAAGATTGTCTCGTTCAAAGTTAACAATTGCTTAATTCTCTCGTTCACAGAAACACATGCCATCAATCAGATCAAGCATTGCTAAGCAACTTTTCTCAATGACATCAACAGTTTGTATTACTCTATCCGTTACGGGTACTAAGAAACCGAATAAATATGTATCGATTTTAGGAAAAGATGCGTAATCGGAATAAATTACTCCTCCGACTAATTCTCTTTTTTATTAATTACTCTCTTCATTTATGAGATTGAGTGTTTGATATAATTTAGAAGTAATTGGATGGAACATTGTATTCTAATTTCTAACATTACAGAATTGCAGAATTATGGAAATGTACTTACCGATATAAGCAACGGTGACGCCGGAGATTGCTCTCCCAATTACTGAGAGTACATAAAGACAGGATACCACCTGTGGCTCAATATTTTGAAAAATAAAAATAAATTAAAAATTGAGGAATGTATAAAAAATTAATGGATATGGATGGAGGTGTAAGACGTACCTTGAGGAAGAGGCGCTTGTCGTGGCCGGTGGCGGCGACGCGGAGGACGGACTCGGCGGCGCCGAGGGTGTTGGCGAGGCAGGCGAAGAGAGAGGTGGCGGCGTCCTGCGAGATCTGCCAGTGGAGCGGGTCAACGGGAACGGCGATGTTCATGTGGCGGAAGAGGAGACCTAGGATCGCCAGCGAACAGAGGAGCACGATGAAGACGTCGGCGAAGAGAGAAACCGCGCTGGAATTCCGGTAGGCGCAGTGGTAATACACCAGCGTGCCGCTCATCATCCCCATCGCTGCACCGACTACCACCATCGCCGCCGATTGAAATTAACTTCAGATTTTATTCTTTTGTCGACAATTCGATTTTCAATTAAATATTTTCTCTACCATTGGAGATCAACGGAAAAACTGAATTTGATTTTTCTCTTCATCTTCATGTAGTTTCTACGGTTCTTATTCTTCTTCTTCTTCCCCTTTCGAGAAACAAATTAGTCTGCAGTCAGCCAGTCACTTTCATATACTGAATTTATTTATTAAAATAAAATTCAGAATTGTTCTCTATGAATAAAAATAAAATAAACTTGGGGAAAAAAAAAATTGAGTATTTTTTTCCTTGTTCAATTAGTTGATGCCAATTAATAGTTCGGCCAAATTCAATTAATTGATCCACTCAATTAAATGATTTTATTTGAATTCAATTACATACACCATAAAATGAATATTAACTAAATTCTTAATCAATTACTCTAAATTATATTTGTTGTTTTCGAGTTGGTTCATATGTTAGAAAAAAAAAACGTGTATTGATTATAGAAGAAGAAGTATATAATGTGACAAAAGTGGTTCTCAAAAAACAAGAGAGAGAAAAGTGGAATTAATGTATTAGTAGCTTTTAAAATAATAAATAAATTGAGATAAAAACAATATTCATATCGATTTTTTTTCGACGGAGAGTCTTTCTAAGTCACTTCATATATAGATGCATTAGGTAAATCAACATTCTCGTATAATAGCTTGCAAACCATACCAGATACGTAAACCACTCTAAGTTAATCATGCGTAGCAAGCTCTTCCTAAAGACCGTTGACAAAATTTACAAACCTGAATCAATCGACTCAAACTCACTTGCTCCAACCGATAGGCCATAATATATACTTTGAAATATTATAATTGGCTCCAATTGCAAATTGAGTTTCCAAAAGCACTTCATTGACGCGAGGCATATCAATATGCATTACTACACTTTAGCTTTATGTAAAGCTAAAATATATATATATATATATCCCATTCTATAACGAAAATAATAATTAATAATAATAATAAACAGCATGTGTTAATTTCCCCTATCCAAGCACAACACTCTAGCTTAAGCTTGTACAAGGCCACACACTGCTGTCAAAAATTAATTATATCTGCTCCTAAATATAACACCACGTAGATCAAATTAATGGAAACTCAATCTGTACACAAATTAACAACTGACGACTCCAAAACAAATTTCTTGAAAGAAAAAGGAAAAAGAAGAAAAAAAGAAAAAAGGAAATTGATGTCAAAAATTAATCAAGGGTATATATAATTCGATACACGCAAATTTTCTTGGTTTTTTTTTTTTTTTGAAACTATATATGTATTGATCATGTATTAATTAGATGACGAATCTTGTACTTGTTCAATCTGGCGAAGTGCCTCCTCCAAATCCCACCTCTTGTCCGGGTCCTCTTCGCAGCAACTTATCCCGATCTGCAAAAGCTTCTCCGTCTCGACTCTGCAGCTGCTAATTTCCATTTCCTTGTCGAAACTCTCGACGTTTTCCTCAACGATGGTTTTGATCCATCCAGCTAAATCCGCGCCGTACTTGCCGCAACCTTGTCCGAGGTAGTTTGCCACGTACCTCCCCGTAAGCGTCTCCAGTATCAACACCCCCAAGCACCAGACGTCCGTTTTCCTGCAAGTGACGCCGTTTCTGGCGTACTCCGGGGACTTGTACGCCACCAAGATCTGGTTGACCTGGCTGGGGTTGACCACCGGCACGAGAGAGTAGTCCATGAGCAAAGGGTTGAATTCGTTGTCGAGAAGAATGTTGGACGATTTCAAATGCCCGTGCGCGACGGTCAAGGTAGGGAGTTCGCTCTGGAGGTAAGCGAGCCCCTTAGCCACTCCCCTGACGATTTTCAACCGGTTAGCCCAACTGAGGCCCTGTTGGTCGGGGGAATGCTTGCCGTGGAGGTGAGAGGCCAAACTTCCGTTATTTATATAGTCGAAAACCAGCAGCTTCTCCTCCTTACGATACAAGTACGCGACGAGCGGGAGCAGATTCGGGTGGCTCAGCCTCCCGAGTCTCCTCATGTGCTCGTGGAAGTCTTCCCTGGCAACGTTGTTCATCAGCTTGAACCTCTTGACCACGAGGGCTTCCCCGTCAACCAGCACCGCCTTGTAGGAGGCGCCGAAGTTACCGCTTCCCAATACTTCCGCGGATGCTCTCATCAGGTCCTGCAGGTCGAACTTCTGCCTGTCGTCTCTGACGAAGGAGAGTTTACCCGATTGTTGTTGTTGCTGTTGTTGTTGTTCGCCGGCTGCTGCGACAACTGATGCTGCTGCTGCTGCGGCAGCTGGCAGAGTTTTTTTATCCTCGTGCGGCTCTTGAGGTGGGAGTTCCCTCCCGAGCTGCGGTGTCTGGTCATCGCGGCTCCTCCGGTACACGAGAAATAGCAGCACGATCAGAAACAATGCAATTAATACGGAGATTATGATTATCGCGATTCTCGATGGAGACGAGGGAGATTTCTCGTTTGTAGCGTCGGCTGCCGGAGATGTGGTTGGAGGAGAGAGAAGAGTTGGCTCCAAGTCCGGTGGGGGGATTGGGGGGTCGCATGCTGCTTCCAACGGCTTCCCACACAACCCTTTGTTGCCTAATTCATTCATTCATTCAACAATAAATATAAATAAAATCATAGATTAAGAATTATTATTTCATATTCTCTCTCTCATTTTAGAATTAATAATACACTAATTAATTACCTTCTTTTTTTTTTATCGATTAATTTTACGAACCTGAGAAGGAGGTGGGGTCCATTTTGCTGAGAGCTGCAGGTATGGGGCCCACCAATTGATTGTTAGAAACATTGAGGAGTCGGAGATTGTCGGAGCTAATCGCCGGTATGCCGCCGGTGAATTGGTTGTTCTCAAGCCGCAACTCGATGAGCTTGGGCGATTCGAGAGACGACGGAATAGGACCGGTGAATTTGTTGTTCGCCAGATGAACCTTCTTCAGAGAAGTCATGCCTTTGAACGCATCCTCCGAGATCTGGCCGGAGAATTGATTGTTGGACAAATACAGCGTTTTCAGAGCACCGAGCTTTCTCCAATCCGGCATAGTGCCTTCGAAACCGTTGTTCATGAAGCTAAGCGTCCTCAGAAAACGGAGCGGCGTGAGAGAATTGACGTCGATTTGGCCCTTGAGGTTCATATTCTCCAGCTGCAGCCCCCAAACGTAGCCGTTGAAGCACAGAACGCCGATCCAGTTGCCCTGGTTCCCCGAGCACGGCGTCGACGCCGTCGAGTCCCAATTGTTGAGGGACGGATCCGCGTTCGCTAGGGAGCTTTTGAATTTCAGCAGATACTCCGCCGATGATTCGCCGCCTTCCTGCGCGCCAGAGAACTCCGGCGCCGCCGCCAGCACCAGCAGCGCGACGAAAATCAACGCCGTCGGTGTGCGATCGTAGCTGGATAGGAGGAGGAGGAGGCGACGGCGGCATGCTGCTGCCGTCGTCGTCGTCGGCATTCTGGTAACCCTAGGTAGTTAATCCTGGGCGGCGGCGATGAACAACTGCGGGACGAGAATATGAAATGATTAGGAAACAAATATTGGGATTAATGCATGATTCCCCTCTCTCTAACTCTACTCGCTAATTTTTGTTTTTTATTTTTAATTTGAATTTGTTCCTCAGAAATTTTCATGGATTATTGGTTGTAGAGAGAGAGAGGAACAAATGCAGCCCAGCGTGTGTCGATTGGTGGCATTACAGAGGGGTGGTCTGGTGGTGAGAGAAACACCGCCAAGGCTCCGGCGATATTTCCGGTGATTTTGTGCGTGCCAGAGCTACCGTTGCCTAATCGCCCTCCATTTTTTTATTTTTTTTTTAACTATAATAAGAAATGATCTAAATTATACTCCGTTAATACTATTTATATTTTGCGAAACAAAAATACAAAAGCACATATAAGATATTATTAATTCATTAAATATTTAAGTAATTGTTTTTACGATTGAACTATTATATAAAATTTATTGATAACAATTGGTGTAGAAATAGAATTTCTAAAGCTTACATCACTTGCTTTCATTAGTTTTTTCCCATAAAAAAAGTTCAAATAAGCACATGCACAATAATAAACGGTTATTTAGGTGGTGTTCGCAAATAATTATTTAAAAGAAGAAGTTAGTGATTGTGTGTTAATTCAGTTTTAAGTGTTTATTTTTGAAAGTTGAGTGTGTTTGCAAATATTCCGAAAAATGAACTTAAATAAAAAAAAGTAGGGTTAGTGGTGCTTTTAAAAAAATAGCTTAGAGCAGATTATTTTAAGAGAAACAAAAGTGAAAGTTAATTTTGCAAACACCTAAAAACAGATTGAGGAAAAAAAAAAACTCATAATCACTTTCAAAAAACTTTTGCAAACACCACCTTAATCTCTAGATTAAGTTATCTTATGACTAGTTCTAAAGTTATAAAACACAAATAATATATTATTCTAAAACAAAAAAAAAATTGATTTTTTCGAAAATTATTTCACTAATTTCAGAACTCTTCCGATTTTGGCAAGCATTTATTTTTTAGCTTATTTTTTAGCGAAAGTAGAATACATATCAGTTTCCAATTTCCAAAAAAAAATCAAAAACTCAAATCATTTTCAAAAAAATATACTTGTAATATCAAATTTGTTATATATTTTGTATTAAATGTGACTGAAAATTTGAAATTTAAAAAATCGGCCAATTCCGATAGAAAGATTTTCAATTTTGCAACAAGTTCAATCATCCAATTTGAAAATTTCCAAATTATTTTTGGCATGGAATTTGAACTAATTTTCCACTACCCGAAAAAAAATGGAAATTTTCCACAAGTGTTAATTCAAATCCGTGTGATTTCGCCCCCCTAGTTCAGCGAAATTACTCTCAACCAAACACTCGGATTCGCATATACAACAATAATAAATCCGGCAAACAAAAAAAAAAAAAACGAAAACCTCACTCACCCCGGATAAAACAACATGGATATGCATAAACAAGCAACTCAACTCACAACCCAAGCAGAGAAGCAGGCAGCAGATTATTACTAGCAAGAAAAGAAAAAAGAAAAAAAATACAGGAGAAAAATAATATGAGAAAAGTTAAAAGAACTGCACATATATTAGGGCAAGAAAGAACATTGTTATATAAGCATACACAAGAACCCTCAAGCCACATACCTAGAAAACCAACTCTCGACATGTGCATCATTTTGTACAGTCACTCGGCATCATATAAACTACCTCACCTTTTTTATATTACACCCTCTCAGCATTTGCTTTCTCTCTCCTCTGCACCATCTTCATCAGCCAACGTTCAGCCTCTTGAGTCTCTTCACAGCTTACTAGACTCCTCTCTCTCTCTCTCTCTATGTATATAAACGTAACACTACACAATGTACAGTTTTTTTTTAATACAGGCAACGACTTTATTTGCAATCAGCTCACATCTAATCCCTCAGTGAAACAAGATATGTGTACGATAACAGCACCACCACTTGAAAGAAAGAAAACAAAGAGAGGTAGCCCAAACTAGCCTCGGTTAGCTGTACAACTTCTTTCTTTTCCTTCCTACATCACATCTACACGGGGATGTGAGTTCTGCGCAGCAATTCTCCTTTCTGTAAAACCAAAAAAAAAAAAACATCGTTTATAAGTTTTGAACTGCGTAAACCTTGTAAGTGATGAAAAATGTTTTTAAGGTTAAGAGGTTCATACCACCAGCTGCAACTAGCTTCTCCACACGAGCTACTATGTGCTTTCCATATGTGTATTTCTTCAGTGCATTCAAATGAACCTTTATTCTCGACATGATCAGTTCACGCTCCTGATCACTGCATGTCTCCAGTACTTTCTGTACAACGTAGTTTGCAAATTGATCTTTCATCATCGCCTGGTATCAGAATGAGAAAAAACAATAAAGATTAGTAAGATATAACTTTGCTTACATGGACAAGAATATATATATATATATATATATATATATATATATATATATATTAACAAAGACATAACAAAGAGATTAAAAAGTAATGTAACAACCTGTAGAGGCTCATTTTCGTCAGTTGTTCCAAGCATCTCGTTCACCAATAGCTGGCGCTCAGATGGATCACCAAAAGTTAAACATTTCTCAACAACGTTAGACGCGAACTTCTGCTGGCTCATCTGAACTATCTTTCCAGCCAATTCTTGAATTATGGTAGTTCGCTCGTGTGGCTTTCCATGTTCCAATACATGCTATACGAAAAAGATCATAAAAATAATTAGCAAACATCTTATAACTATAACTTCTACCAATCAGTCAACAGAAACATATATGGTGCTGTATGGGGAAGATACAACAATTTGCTACTTAAATGTTATAACATTTGGGCAATTATCTGATGTCTGTAAATACTTGAATAAAACGAGAATTTTCACAACATGACATTTTCAGTGACCACAGAAAGTGTTTTCAGACATTTATCCTACTCCATGAGATTACTGCACCTCAGCAGAATTTCAGGATTCATATCTATTGACTATTTGTATAAAATATCTGTGCATAAAAGTTAAAGATAACATATTGAAGCAAAATATGGTGCAAACAAATTCAAGTAAAAACTTTAAAAGTGACAATTTAAAAAATAGAAACTTCAGATTCAATATATTACGTAATAATTCATACTGGTCACAGAATAAACAAGGGCATAGTTGCCATATAAAATTTCTCAAAGAAACATTTACAAACCTGAACAACATAATTCCCATACTGATCCTGTGCCAGCATGCTTACAGATCCCAGAATCTCTTCCATCACTTTGCTCTGAGTGTTTTCATCCTTACAATACTCCAGAACCCTCTGCCAAATGAAGGCGCCTCACAATATATATACATTTACAAGTCGAAAAAAATTGAAATAAAATTTATCAGTAGTAATATTTTGCACAATTTTCTCAAACCTGTATCACACGACAGCCATATGGATGAGTGGATAGAGTCACAACTTGATCAAAAAATGTTGACACAATAAACTGAATATGATCTTCAGGAACGGATTCGATGCACTTTTGAATGACATGGTTCCCGTTTTGATCACGAACACAACGCATGACATGCCCATCCAGCTCTCCCACCATGTTGATCTTCTGATCCACATCCACAACTTCTATTGCCTAGATAACCACAGCATCAATAAATTTTTGGATATTTGAACAAATACATTTTCATAAATCTTAAAAGAAATTTCAGCTAAAAATATACAAAAAATATACAGGGAATGACGAAAGGATGACTGAATAAAAAAGAATGGATATACTCATCTCCAGCACTTAAGTACTTATTCAGTACGCCATTGGGTTAGACTGAATGTATAAATCCAAGGCAAATGTTACCTTTTGTATCACCCTGCAACCATACATTTGGAGGCTTAGAGTAAGTACATGTCCAATTAGTTTGCTAGCTAACTCTCTTCTCTGGGACGCCATTCCATGTTCAAAAAACTGGGAAGACAAAGAGTTAGCACCAAAGACAGTCTTAAAGCCCAAAAGAAGTGAAACTGAAATCATAATTATCAACTGAATAATTGAACACAGTTCTTGGTACCTTTTGGATCACATAATTACCAAACACATCAGTCATTAAATTCAGAGCTTGAGGAAAAATTTCCTGGAAAACCATGTTCTTCTCATCTGTTGTGGCAGTTTCGAGCTTTTGCTGGATGAACCGGCTTCCGTATTGATCAGCACTAGTTAAAGATGTTAAAAATGAAAACGTCAGACATCATCAATCTTCCCAAAAAGAACAAAAAGGGATTTTTTTTTTTTTGGCAAAGCACATACCTAAACTCGACAACATGACCAGCAATTTCAGGAAGTTCAAAACACTTGGTTTTATTGCTCTTAAACTCCTCCAGCAGAGTAGAGGCAAAACTATTATTATCCATGGTATCCAAGTGCCACGGTCCAACGACACTCCCAGCAGCTACATTTCTCATCCCACCCGTAAACCTCATATTAAATTCACCATGCCTCATAGGGCTACCTGGCCCTCCACCTGAATTTGGCAAAACTTGATTTGCCAACGGACTTCCAGGATAAGATAATCCAATCCCAAACGCATGATTAGCATAGTAACCATGAGGACTAGTGGCACCACCTCCCTTACCAGCCATAGGAACACCATACTGTGATTTCTGTGGTGACAACAAATTCCCAAGGTACGCTTTCTGAAGCAGGTCCATGTAAGAATTGCCCATATAGTTCCTATCAACAGAAGGGTCACTAAGAGCTGCCACCTGTGCGGCTGCAGCATACTCAGCTGTCCTCAAGTATTGCAGATACAAAGGGTCGACATAAGGTGCGTGTCCAGACATCTGGTTTCCTAGTCTATTATGGTTCTGATCTGCACCACTAAAATTTGAAGCCCCCAACATCCGAGGGTCCATTCCAATAGCAGATGCAGCAGCAGCATTCTCAAATAAAGGTGGCAAATTAGAGTTACCGAGTTGACCCGATATTGGACTCATAGGATAGCCACTTAACCCATAATTCGAAAACGATGAGTTGGGGCTATCCAAAAGCTGCTGATACTGCGGAAGCACACCACCCCCAACATTAATCGAAGCATTAGGAGAAGATCCTTTCATGTATGAATTATTAGAAGGAACGCCATTTATATGATGCAGCTCACCTTGAAAGGAACTATTATTACTGTGATCATGCCCAACAACACCACCAGAATCAGAAGAAGACACATTAAACGGCCCAGAAGACATGTGTTTATTCATGTAAGTTTGCTGCCTTGCATTAGTCTGGCCTCCTTGGAGATTAAAAAGATAATTCTTATGGTCATCAGCATCAGAGTCAATGCGGGACGACATATGTTTCTCGTCATCCATGATGTCATTTGAAAGGTTCATGCTTGATAAAGAAGAAACTAGATCAGCAGCAGATTCATTCGGGTGAGGAGCTACACCAACATTGAAGGAGCTGGGGCTGTTTATGTTCCTTTTCTCTGAATTTGCTGCCCCCCTGCCTCCCCCAATTGGAGTTGGGCAAGGACTGGGAGCTCTTGTAATGCGTTGAGGATCAGGAGTTGAGCTTCTTGACAAGGATGCACCCAAAGCGGCGGCATAAGAATATGATGCAGGCTGAGTGGCGGAGGAGTGCACTGGATCTGACGGTGTCAATTCCCGGCGGAGACTGGCCAGCTCATCCTCAGCCAAAGCCATAGCGGTGGTGTTCTCATCAAAAGCGTTTCTGCTAGCTGGACGTGAAGGGTGTCCAGAAACGGGAGTGGTACGGTTCAAATCATCCTGAAAAAAATGTTACAACTTAATACAACGTAGTAAAAAAGACGTGATAGAACATAGAAATTTGGATTACTTCTGACGTACAGAAAGCAGAGCAAAGAACACATAATGCACTGCTAAGCATACTAAGAATTGCATTAGTATGTACAAATTTTGTGGCACAGAACCACAGTGTGCTCCTATTTTCAGCAGTTAAAAAGATCCACAACTTCAATAAAGAGGTTCAACTAATGATGCCTTTTGAAAAAAAAAAGAGCACCGGTCACAGGACCTTGTAAATAAAAACGGAATCCATATAGTTAAACCAAATTGTTGAATTCACAAGGAACATGAACAAAATGGATGCAATACCGAACACAGGTACTTATACGTGAGCAACAAAAATGCATACATGGCGGTTCCTATGTATATATTAAGAGGGGCAAACATTTAGCAAATAAAACAAGAAAATTCAGGAGTGCCATACAAAAGAAGAGACCACTCAAAAATTGTGCAAAATTATCTACCATAACACATAAATGTCAGCAAACAGTCTCCAGTCTCCAATATCACATCCCCACGTATTAAATATCAACCCAAAAAGAAATAAACAATCAGTTAAACAACAGTAGAATCAACCTAAAAGAAATGAGTAGTAAAAGTTACTGACCTGAAATATCTCAGCAAGACTCTTCTGCTTGGCACCTAGTCCTAAACCAGGCAAACCAATAAGTCCATCACCACCCCACTCCACAGAACCCTGAAGTTTGTCCATGTCATTCTCACCCTCCATCTTCTTCGAGTTAAAACCCGGAGGCATTGCAAACAGTGATCTCCCACTATTGTCACCGTCGTTCCTATTCACCTTCCTCCTATCCCCAATTGCAGAACTCCCACCTTGCAACCTCTGAGCATAACGCCAATCCTCTCTCGACAACAGAGGAGGGGGCAGCCTCGGATTCAGATTGACGTTCGAGTAATAGTAAGATAGATAAGCCGGATCAGACCTAAGCTCGTCCTCATTCAAGTACCCATTGCCACCACTCTTATTTCTTGCAAACTCAGCAAAAGCAGAGCCGACTCCACCACTGCCGCTGCCACCACCTCCACCGCCGCCTCCATGGTTAAACAAACCGCCGACGGCATTCATCGAACCCTCCACAGTAGGCGGAGCAGATCCGCTCCGGTATATATTCAGCTCCTTCTCATGATCATCCGCCTCCTGCCGCCTCTGCTCGCGGAGGAGCAACCCTAACTCCTTCTCAAACTCATCTCCATACGAATTTTCGTTGTTTCCAATCACCGGTCGCCTACCCAATTCAGATAACATGATTCCTTTTTCGCTATACTGTAATATCAAAATCCCCAGCTATTCACTGCTCATTCACAAAAAAAAAATGAAGCTTAGAAATAAAACCACCAAATAAATCGAAGAAAGCCAACAGTTACAGTACAGACCTTGACTTTTATCCGACGCTAAATTCAGACGAATCCCATATTCACATAAAATTGAAAATCAACATAAAAAAGTCCAACCTTTGACCATCAACGAAAGCTCAGTTCCTGAAGATGAATGAAATCATCCAAACGAATATGATCAGGCGCGCACAAAGTAAGGGGGGCGAGAGAAAACTAAAAAAAAAAAAAAAACCTAGTTTTCACCAAACGTTGAGTAACCTTAAACCGGAACAATTAAGTATAGGACAAAACGGCCATGGTCGTTCAATTTGAATTTACAAGCAATTACAGAGCTGTGATTAAACAGGTAAAAAGAAAAGAAAAAAATGAAAAAAAAAATGAAGCTGAAGTAAGAAGTTGGGGGAAGGGTTTGGGAGTTTAGAAGTAGACTGAGTGAGACAGAGGGAGAGGGGTCACAAGTAAATATAAGAGAGAGATCAATCTGGCGGCGAATTGTTCCTGCAGAGAACCCCTTTTAGGGTTTTGTTTTTCAACCACTATTATGGAATGTGAGAGAGAAGAGAGAGAGAGAGGTGAGGTGATTAAATACCATACAGTAATTGAATTTATTTACTATATACATATTTAAATTAAATTAAATGTATTTTGGGGGCAGTCTTGCAAATAAACAAATTCCCTTAATAATAGGTGGCCTAATTGACCCAGTGATGGATGGATAATCCAGTCATGTTTAATTAATTAATTAATTAAAAACTTTTTTATGAAATGAAAATAATATGATAATTAGTCTAGAGAGAGAGAGAGAGAGTAGAGAGAGAAGTGAATATGCTGGTGGTGATGAAGAATGGAGAATCTGTGGGTGACACGTTGACACTAAACATACGGAGTGGAACTCCAAAAAATCTGCCCTTGTGGTTAAGGCACCAGTCCACCTAAAAGTGGGCACTGTACTTTGCTATTTACTGTTTAGACTACAAACTATTGGAATTAGTATTTTCGAACAAAAAAAATATTTAAAATTAATTTTAATTTCGTTTCAGTAAATATTTATAAAAAAAATTGAAATTTCGGAAATTGGGGCAAAAAAAAGAATTTGTTTCAATTTTTTTATTTTTTTACGGACGGAATCGACGAAAATCGGAAATTTTATCTTTTATTCACCTATAATATAAGAAAATCACTAAAAGAAATTATATGGAAAAAGAAATATATAGTAAATTGATATTATATAGTTGTTGTTTTTTTTTCAGTTTTTGGAAATTTTTGGAATTTAAAATCAGAATTCAAATCAGGATCTCATATATAATCCAATAACGGTCACAAAATGTGGAAAATTTTCAAATTTTCAAATTAGGAATACGATCGTTACATAATCGAATAATTTTGGATTGGAATCGTGGAATTAAAAAAAACTACATTGTACTTTTTCCATTCTTACCCCTACTACAAATATTAATTCTTCACATGGCTATTTTAAGATAATTATCATTTTAATATGATGATTTAAATCTTAATTATATAAGGATTACTTATTATTTGAATCGAATATAATTAAAACACATTTAGTATTAAATAGTCAATATTTAGAGAAAATCGATGAGTGAGATTCATTTTTTGAATCAATGACATTAGTAAATTAGATAGTGACATTTCTCACCTGGTGGAAATTCATTATTGAAAATCAGATTGATGATATCATTTGAAAAGTTGATTTAGCATTAAAAAACGAGCTTAATTTTATTCAACCGGACCTAGTTTGAGTCGTTTTATTTTGTTCTTCATAAATTATTAAATATTCTAGATTTTATTTTTCATTTTTCGGCTGCGAATTTATTTTGTTTTTAAAGCCCAAAATATTTTACTTAAATAGTCATTGCAAAGTAGGCCTATATTTTATTTTATTTTATTTTAAAGCCCAAAATATGATGCATCTTACTTGGCAGTTGGCTCTCACATGATTGATCCATTTGTATTAGCCCACCTTAATGATATTAATAATATTGGTTTTTATATCTTATATATTATAATTCATAAATATGACATTAATATTTGACATTTATAATATTGATTTCTTGTTAAATCATAAATCAATTTTTATCAACCTAATAAACTCTAATGACATTTTCTACATAGTGCAAAAATGTAAAAGTCATAAATCATGTGAAAACACAAGCGATCATGTGTTTCGACTTTCGAGCGTAAAAACACAAGCGAGTAATTATGGTAGAGCAATCCATCAACATTTTCCACAATTGAATCCGGTCTTCGACAAACTCCAAGAACCAACGTACCGGCAGGATGCTCGAAAATTGATAATCGGAGGGGGATTCAAATTTCTAAGGCATGCATTCTTCCTACAAATTTCAGAAACTTATTATGGTTTTGCCCTATCTTCATTTTTAGAAATGCACCAAATTTGCAGGAGGCACTACTTTCAATAACAACTACCAAATCCTGGTTGCGATTGAAATTCCGTCATTTCAAATCCCTCAATCCAAACGCAACCCAAGATTATTCTCTAAATAAAGTCGAAACAACACTGCATTTTACCACGTCGAAAGAAACGAAAGAAACAACACTGCATATTCTCTAAATATGTTTCGGAATATTTTCTCGGAGCTAATTCTCCATTTCGTATCATTTTTTTACGGACCGATTTCGCTAAATAATTGGTTATTCATCCTTTCGTATGAATCCCATGAAAATATCCAAAACTCGACAGCTAATTAAGTACTTCTCCCCACAAAGCATCAAAACAACAGGACGAACTCGAACATGGAATTATTTCTCGAAGATGCAAACAAATATATAAAAAATTCCATAGTATCACCCTAAGCAACAATGGATGGATCTATAAAGAAAGATAAATATGTTCACTACAATCCAATGTCAAGCAATTTTACCATTTGTACCAATTGGAATCGATCGATCAGTCGGCTTCATCAAGGCAATTTTACCATTTGTACCAATTGGAATCGATCGATCAGTCGGCTTCATCAAGATAATCGTCGTATTCTTGATTCTTCTGCCCGAATCCCTTTGGCCCGGCCCGAGCCCTAACTCTCCCCTTTTTGCCACCCTTCTTCTTCTTAGCAGACTCTTCTTTCTCAAATTTATCTCTCTCCCTTTTCTGCAAGAAATCTGTCACAGCTATGTAGACAACCTGAAAATTTCCAAAAACATAATTTCGGAAACCAATTTAATTGAATTGAATTCAATTCAGCTACATGATTATCAGATTATGCATACACAAGAAGGAAAAAAAACCCTAACCCCTATGGTAAGAATGGATAGACCGACGAAGGCGACGAAGAGAAGAACTGATATGACGGTGGCGACGCCGTCGTCAGTAGTGGAAACTATTTCCTGAGAAGCCTCCACCGGAATTGCTTCCGAGAGAGAGAAATTGCCATTAATGGCGGCAAGCTTGAAGCTTTTTGGGGGTTTTGGCCTCACTGCGGTGGGTAAATTGAGATAATAGGGAATTCTCCTCGATGATTGTGTCGATTGAAATGTGACCGGAGAAAATGAGCTATGGAGATGAAGAGGTGATTTAGGGTTGAGTATCAAAGAGAGAGGTGCAGATGAAGCTGCCATGTTTATCACTTGCTGTAATCCCACATCCTCTCTCTTGGTCCGACAGTTGGAAGATGATGATGGGTTTATCCTATTTTACCCCCACTCCTTTTTTTTTTATTTAAGTATTTGATTTTTTGATTTAATTACGTAAAGTCAAATTACTAAGAGAAAAAAATCTGTTGGGTATAATTACAAGTTACAACCACCCCTTTAATTGTGAATCTTCTTATATGTTAATATTATGGTGTTGAATTCAATAGAATCTTCTATATTCCGTGAAATGTTCTCTAATTTATAGTCGTTTTATGCAGAAATACAGTTTCTGATGCACTGCAATTTGATATTTACGAATCAAGAGACACGTCTTATGATCAACTTGTTTCAAAATGTGGAGTTATAATAGTGTAAAACAGGTATAAACTGAAGAATATTCTATATAATTTATTCCACTAAATTTGATGTCACAAGGGTGAATGTGTAAGAAGATTCATAGCTGAGAGTGGTTATAGTACTGAAATATGAGAGTTTTTTTTTTTGTAATTTGACATCATCTCAGAAAGTGGCCGTAATTTAGCCTAATTTATATGTTGTAGCCTAGTTTATATGTTTTTATAAGTTTATTATTTGATTTATGCACTCAAAAGTTTATTTCTTTTAGCGCAAATAGCACTTCACCCCATTAGAAAAACACTTTTTGTACTTCCCCCTCGCAAATACAAAAAATAGAGCATGCCCCTCCAAAATATAAAACGAGTTGCAATTGCATCAGAATTGGACTACACTGATATTTTCGATAGAATTGGGTGTCTATGAAGGATATTTTTGTCACTTTAGGATGTAAGTGTTAAACAACAACTCTGATTGCATTATGTAACCTAAGGGCAATCTACTTTTGACATTTGAGTCGAAAATTCGTATTGTATTATGAAATACTCTTTTTTGCTTTTGCAAGGGATAAAATGCAAAAGTGGCTTTTCAAAACGGGTAAAGTGTTATTTTCCGATTTATTATTAAGTCTATTTAAATTTGAAGAATTGAAACACTAGGGCGGGTCGGCCCAAGTCCAAAAACGGGCTTGCTAGTTCCAACGCTAGGCGGGTCAACCCGGGTCCACTTACCTAAAATAGTCTCTACTAATTCCAAAATCCAGCTAGAGAGAGAAGATATTTTATAGAGTGGGATCGAAATAAATATCTGCCTGTAGCTGCCAGCGTGGCACCTAATTTAATTTGGGATCTATTACTACACTTTTTCCACCCCCAAAAATTTTACTTATTTATATCCACCGCCTACTAACCTTCATTATCTTCTCCCCCATTTCTTCCCCCCTCACACATCAAATCAACCCCACTTGTTGAAATCGAACAAACCCTCCATAGATTAATCAATCAATCCCTCCCAAGCATGTGGATTGGTTGAATTCTCCGATCATTTTCATGGGCGAGGAAGTTAAAATCGACGACGGCGTCGCCGAGTGGGAGGCGGGGCTTCCATCCCCCGACGATCTGACGCCGCTCTCTCAGTCCTTGATCCCGGCCGAATTGGCGTCCGCGTTCAGCATCTCGCCGGAGCCTAGGCGGACTGAAATTGACGTCAATCGCGCCTCACACAGTACACTTTCTTCCCTCCGCGGCGGCGGCGGCGGTGCCGCCGCCGCCGCCGCCTCCACTTTCAAGCCGTTCGGCGGCGGCGAGGGGGACGACCACGCGGTGGAGGAGGCAGAGACTGAGGAAGGATCCGAACCGAAGAAGAGCCGGATGGTGGACTCCGCCGACGATTTGGCGACGGACAGCTGCGCCGACGACCAGTCAACGGCGGGGGGGAAGGCTCTGAAGAGGCCGCGGCTGGTGTGGACGCCGCAGCTGCACAGGCGGTTCGTGGACGTTGTGGCGCACTTGGGGCTGAAGAACGCGGTGCCGAAGACGATTATGCAGCTGATGAATGTCGAGGGTTTGACCAGGGAGAATGTGGCGAGCCATCTGCAGAAGTACAGGCTGTATGTTAAGAGGATGCAGGGGCTGTCGAACGAAGGCCCCTCCCCCTCCGATCACTTGTTTGCTTCCATACCCGTGCCGCCGCAAAGCTTCAACGAGTCCTCCATAGGCGATGGGAACAACGGAATCGCCAACGGGAGTCATAGCAGTGTTGGTAATGCAAATAGCGGGAACAATAACATCGGAATGCCGATTCCGATGCCGATGCCGTACCATCCGCCCCCGCAGCAGATTATGCCAATGCAGATGATGGGAATGGCAGCTCACGGGCAGCACGGATTTCACGGGTACGACCATAACCACCACCATTCGCAGCAGCAGCAGCAGTACAGTAGTATGGTGCAGCAGCAAAGGGACTGGTCTGGAAATAAGTACAATGCTTATCCACATCATGTAACTCAGAATCATAACAAATGTTAGCAATGTCTTTCAGTAGTGGAAAATAAAGGTGAAACCCTGCTTTAATGGTTGCTGGTTCTGCCTCGATCGATTGTTGTTGTTGTTGTCCGGCTTTTGTTGTTTGTGATTTGCTTCTGCTGATTTTTAAAATTGGAATACAGGGGTCTTGGTGAATTCATTTGCTAGGAGTCTAGGACTTCTCTGTTAGCAAATTATGATTTTTTTAGTTATGGAATAACTACTTGTCTTGATCTATTACATGATATTCGAGCTGTAGATTATATACAATCTTTTCAATTTGTCTGAGTTGTTATCTGATTTTATTATGAGAACTATATGGATGGATGGATGCATTTATAAATGTTCGAATGGAAAAAAATGGATCTTTACGGAGGTAAAAACAAGACTGTCGTTAGAAGGTAAATATAGAAACTTCTTGCATAGTACCACTCGAAAGTTATTTCGTATGTGTGTGTTGTGGTGGGGGGGGAGGCAATCAAGGACCGTCGTTACTTTTACGTCAAATTCAGTTTGTGGCTCTTACTATAAGTGAGCTCATTTGTGTTATCTTTTATATGTATAAATGTGCTACATTTTCTTAGTTGTTGGAGTAGATTTATCCCCACTTTACATTGTTGGATACATCTTTGCTATTACCAATCGCAATTTTGAGATTTTTCCAGGCAGATTGCCGACATGTCGATTGAAATGTACTTTTTGTGACGAGCGTGTTTTTTTCCTTCTTTCTGTTCAGTGAGATGTTTGTCTTTTTTAATTTCCTTTCGTGTTTCTATTGGCTTGTTTGTCTGAGGAGGCGATTTACTGTTTACAATTTTCAATTCACTGGTGTAGGTTTTGTTTCATCTGTATTTTTCGTATCTGTGAAATCGTAGGGGCTTTTGAAATTTCAACCAACTTACCATCCTCGATCTTCTACATCTGCACGAGAGTTGTGGTTTGATGTTATATTTTTTTTGGTTCCCTTGTACTATTTCGTGGAAGTATAACAACAATATATTCCAACCAATTCTTGATATAAGCTTCTGTGAAAGCTTACCTCACGTTTACGGAGCTCTCAGCTTTCTTACATATCTAAACACAGTTTGGAATCACCGCTGCTGTAAATTGACGGTGTTCAGGTGTTTGAGCATCTCTTCGGGTTGAGTTTTCGGATTATGTTTTCTTAATACCTCATGTTGTCCTTCATATTATACAATTTAACTTTTTCATCTTAATGCTGCAAAAATGATACATGATACATACACCTTGTATGCGATCGAGATCTCGAATGCGTTTTACATCTCTGGTTTATAATCCCGAAATCGACATCCCCTTGTCAATTGAGTAAGGATTTTTCAGGGTTTTGCAAGTGCAGAAAGTCCATTAGATTTCAGTAGTCTTTATGGTAAATTTGCACAATAAAATATGATAAAAAAAAATAATAATTATTATAATAATAATAAAAATGAATCAAGACATAATATGTTGCAAAATTTGAAGTTTTATATGTGAGTTGTCCTCAACAAGGACTAAGCATATGTTACCGAAACAAAACGTTTAATGATTCGAGTTCGATTCTCTTATCTATGTTTTGTAGTTGGAATTTGGGGTACACAGTATATGACATGCTATAAAAATGAAAAATGTTAAAAAAAAAAAAAAAAAAAAAAAGAGAGAAATTTAACATTACATTTTTTACTTGTGCCAGAGCTCACAAACAGTAAAAAAGTAAAAATGTGGGAGATTGGCATTTTGTAGTTGTCGGACAGAATTACCAACCGTTAAACTTCCACGCGCAAACTACAAGAAGAAAAAATCGACAGCACGAAACCACATGAATTCAAGAACATGCACGGATTTGCCCAATCTGCGACATCACAAACTATATTAAGCTTAAATCCGTTCGCCTTCGTTTCAAGAAACTCAAGTTATCCACCACTTGCTTGCGGAATCTGGTATGGGCATAACGTCGAACATCTGGTGTGCAAAGGTCAGACCTTTTTACACAGTTACCGAAGCGACTGTCACTGCCGCAGCAGCAAGAAGAAAATAGGGAGTTTCAGAATCAGAGCAAGTGGGAGGGAGTCGCCGTACGAGGTTTTGGGGGTTCCGTCGTCTGCTTCCACCAAAGATATCAAAAGGGCTTACAGAAAACTTGCTCTTCAGTATCACCCAGATGTTAACAAGGAGGTATGCTTTTGATTATTCTTGAATATTTGTTTCTTAAATCACTGTCAAATTAGGAATAATTTGATTTCTGTCTGATGATTGGGGAATAATTCAATCTAAATGTAGAAGAAAAAAAAAACCAAATTTGAAGGTGGGAGAGATTATTTGAAGCACCAAATTATAGCTACATTGATGCTTGTGTATATGTTAGTCGTTTTTGTCGGTCAAATTATACCAAGAGCAACGGGCTGTACGGTGAAAGTCGTGAATTTAATTTCGATGAAGACGACTAAATTATAGTAGGTGATTGTTCTTCTGATATCTTGGCACTAAAACAAATGAAGCTGATTTCGGTAATTATTGACCCTATCATGGCTATATAAGATGACAATATCTCGTAATCGTATTCAATGAGGAACAACCGTCAAATAGGGCAATGTCTATAGCTAATTCATTTGCTAGAATCGTAGTTGAACTGGACAGTAACTCGAGATGGAAGATATGTTAGTAGAAGGTGGTTGTGCAATATATCTTATAGAAAAGGTTGCTTATGGGGTTTCATAGCCGTTTATATTACTACTTTCATGCAGTTTATTTTACGTTCATGATTCAAATTGAAGAAACTGGCAATTACGGATAATGCCTTTCGTTTTATGTTGCTATTGTTGCCTGCAGGCTGGTGCTCAGGAAAAATTTATGAGGATTAAGCATGCATATAACACACTACTGACCTCTAAATCCAGAGGTAAATATGATGCTGGAAATCGGGGATCTGATTATTCATATTCCACAACTGGAAGTTACCAAACAAAGACGAGAGAAGCAGAAGAAGAGTTCTACGGATTTGGTAAAACACTTGCTTCTATAGCCTTGTACTTTGTATATATTTCTTGATATTTATGCGTGTCTGATCGGTTTATGTAAATGAAACTAGTTTTCCATAATAGACTTAAGACGTATTATCCCATATCTTAATGATAAACGAGAAATTATGTGTGCCTTTGCGTCCAGCACTTTATGGTTGTTGATCTTTGACGTTTTTTCTTTTTTGGTTGAATGCAGAATACTTGTACTTGGCCTGGAAAATAAGTTCATACTGTAAATATATGTTAGAGAATAGATTATTGTCGTAATTCAAAACTTAAAATTAGAACTGATGGATAATTATCATTGATGAAGAATATGTATATATAGAGAACATGAAGAAGTTAGTTTGCTTACTTGAATTCATTCGCTCAGATTCTAGGCCCTTACCTGGACTTGCTCGTTTATTGCATAACATAAACTACTGTTTTAGTTTCTTGATATCACCATAGGCTATTGATTCTTTGGTTGTCGTTTCAATGTGCTGCCAGTATATGAATTACTAGAGGAATTAAAAAGGTTTTTTTTTTAGTATATTCTTATTGTAACCCCTCGATGATGCAGGTAACTTGTTCAGGGATGCCCAAATAACAATAGGTTGATATATCCTCCTTGGGGGATTTCACAAAGGCCAATAAATTCTTTACCTCGATATTGAATCATTTTGTGGACGCGTTTTCATTTATTTCTATAGCATGAGGTGCTTAAGTTAATTATGTGTTGCTGCAGAGGACTTCTTCAGAGATCTTCAGGAAGAATTTTGCAATTGGGAGGCAACTGCTTCTAACCAAGGAAAGCCAAAGAGCTTGTGGGAAGAACTGTCGGTGAGATTATATATTACGTTCAATAGCTAGTTCTTCACTTTTTCTCGATTTGTTGCCGTAAAATGTATGGTTCACATCTCTTCATTATAAAATGGACTGGGGCAGGAAATTGGAGAAGAGTTTGTTGAGTTCCTAGAGAAAGAGCTGAACATTACAGAAGTCGAAAATAACGGAGAAACTTTTTCGAAAAACTACGAAGCGAAGCCAAGTGCAAGTGCTGATCGAAAGGACGGTGATAAACGGAGCAGCATTGATGAAAATATAGACGAGATTGAAGCGACCCTTGCCCAATTAAAAAGGGAATTGGGCCTCTAATTAAGAGGATGAATTGCAATTTTAGAATGTGTATTTTCAAATTCTTCACTTTTAAATGGCTCTTGATATTCATGTACTCTATATTCTATACACCGACAAAGAACGTACAAATTTCTAAATTCTGCTGCATTTCCTCAATTATTCCGTGCGCAACTTAATTACTTTGCAATGCAAAAGACGTGTTCAAACCCCGTTCATGAAGCTCGAACACGAGTTATACATATTAAATTACATAGAAGAACAAAACACAAAAAAAGTGTGGAACATAGCACTAGTTGTACATAATAAGTTATTTCGAAAAACAAAGAATCAAGAATGCAAACCTCGATTCAACACTAGACATTTCAGTTAATGAAAAATAATCTAAGAACAAAATAAATAAGCATTTCAAAAGGGATAACGAAACAGAAAAGAAAGAAATAGAGCGAGATCTCAACTCAAAAAAAAAAAAAAAAATTCCCGATCAAAGTCCAAGAGAATATATTATGGCAGCAGCTCTTAGAATCTCTCTCCGAAACGGAAGAATACCGAACCAGTTCCCGAGTTGTGGTCAACAGCATACTCTGCTCGAACTAATCCTAACTTCATACCAACACCATATGAGGATCCTTGGCCCATTCTCCTATACACCTCTGTCGGGTTTCCTTTAACATCTTTTGAACTCCCAAGATCATTCCCATGCTCTGCAAACACATAAGCGTGTGTGTTTTTGATCGGTATTCGAAGCTCAGCAGCCAGCTACAAACAACATAACAAACATCAAACATGGAGCACCAAATGAGATTCTTGATTTCATGCTCATATTATATATTATTAACTTATGAGGTACAGCAATTAACTTCTGACATGCATTTTTTATTAGAATAATCCTATGGCACGCTTTCAGTTATTAACAAAAAGCTCAATATCTTTATGTAGCTTGAAAAAACAAGTTAAATTAAATAGTACCTCGAGTATGTTTCTTGCAGCTCCCAACTCTCCCATATTATAACCACGAACGGAATAAGGTCCGCCCAGAGTAAATGCATCATAACTGGGAAGATCTCCAACACAACCACCATAATGGCCATGGAGGACTAGAACAGGAGGTGGTGGCTTCCCAGCACCTTCCTCTACGTCATTCAACTGGAGAAATCGTGTTACTGTTAATTGGTGACGGTTGAAGAATGGAAACTTGCTACCGATTCCAAGTCCTTGGTCAACCTGCAAAATATTTAAGAAAATGAAAGATAGACTTGGTGTATGGTCATGTCTACTGCTGATAAGAAATATAATGTCCATGAACCGGGAATAAAGCAAAGCACGGATTTTAATTTTCATAACATAAAGTTTAAAAACAGGCTCTACTCTGCTGTTAAGGTTCAAAACTGTCTCAAGAGTATTCAGATAGGAAATAAGGTTACTGAAGGGTTATTGAATCTATTAATTACTTAATACCTAGTGAGAAATAGACTTGCAGAGAATCAAAGAGAACATCAAGAAGAAAATTAGGATTTACCCCTAGAATTATAGTTTAAGAGATGGAACCAAAGCTTATTTTATAAAAACAATGAATACATTATAAATGTATACACACACACACGCACACACACACACACACACACACACACAGATTAACTTTTATGCAGTATTAACTTTGAACAAGATTATGTTACCCAAGAACACTTTGTTATAATTTTCACCTTTTTCCTTTTATTAATATATTTTTCTTCTACTTCCCTATTTTTTCGTTAATCGAGGCTATCGAGTTAAATAGAATATGAAGCTTCTCAGTTAACTAAAATAAAAATTATAGGGACAAAATACTACTCTTACAGATCAAATATCTCCTCATGTACAACTCTAGATTGTTGAATCAGATCCCTCAAGAATGGTTACTACCAAGCAAAATGACATCTTCATATCAGGCTGGTGACGAATAAGAGGCCTAAGTTCATCCAAGTAAAAAGGGTATGATAAAATAGTATATCGAAACCTATCTAAATGAGGCCTTTATATATCAGGCAATGACATGAAAGTTGTATCAATATATGAACTTTATTAGTTGATCACTGCCACATCTTCTCTAACTCCAATAGTTCTATTAAAGAAAAAGTTATGCGTCCTATTGAGGTTCCAACTAGAGCCCAAGTGAGACATTAAAAGAGAACAAGACTACACATAATTTTCAAACTTAATGGGCAGTAAACTTTCTCATGAAATACCTAAAATACAACTTCACTAAATTACTAAAAATAATGTAAAGAAGCAAAGACTGATCTGCACCAAAATTATCTTCCAAAGAAATCGAATTGCTATCGAAACCAATCCTTTATCTATGTAATTTTTTTTAATCCTTTCAATGATCGCATACTTCGACATCACTCCTAGAACTGAAGAGTCTGTAATGGATATTTTAAACCCGAGAGCCACAGTGTCACTAAACATACAGTTATGTACTGTAAATTCGCTATAGGGTTAGCTGGTTCATACAGTAAATTTAGTATTAGTTTTAGTGTCGAGTAAGTTTTCAGCTATACATTGAACTGCCCTAATAGGCTAATATAGAAACAAATACATGGACAACATTCTTATCCATATTTTTTTACTACTGAAATGGGAAGAGAACAAGGTTAGACCACCGTTTTAGGTTCGAGAAGATAATATATAAGATTACTTGATTAACATAAAACACATTTTGGGTGACACAGGTTGTCTAAACTCGGTTTAGCATGTCAGCTCATCAACACCATATACAGTTACTACACCACATCATGACAATTTGAAATGTTAGATCTTTCTCAAGTCAACTCCAACTGCAAGAAAAATTAAATTATACCATAAATCCTATAACTTAGAACTCTCCATACAGGTTAGTTTCAGAAAACTAATAGCAAGTATCTTCTTTGTCAGAGAAGAGAAACGAGGTGTGAGAATTTGAAAAGGAATTTAGTGTTCACATATAAGACAAAAATACTAGGGCTAAGAAGATTTTTATCTGGGACTCAATCCACACAATCAATTGTCAGAAGTCTGAGATAAATGCCTCTCCTCACCTGGAACACATTTCTGTCACCAACTATAGCCCCATTTAAAAATTTGGTGTTGTCACGAGTGATATTTGCCTGCAGAAATGCCATTCGGTCAACTCCAGTGCCACTTAGCGTTGTGGGAGGTCCATCCGCACTCACTCCACCACTGGGCAACACCCTTTGACCATTTGCAGAAATGTGACTGCTTTCATCACGCGTTGTTATCTCCTCCATCACAAGTCCATAGGTAAATTTGCTTTGACGTGTGAAGTTCTGCAAGAAATACATTAGTTAACTTCTCTCTATCTTACCGACTCACCAATATTTCACTTATCAGCAAATATTCTCTCTCTGATCAAGTTAAAATATCAAACTCTAACAGAACCAATCTTAGCTTGATTTGGCTCCAATTATCAGGTTTGATAAAATATATAGTGAGGCCCATATAACAAGACAGAGAATGAAAATGCAAACCTCTGTAAAATTGGCTTTCATTCCAGCTCTGTCAACCCATATAGGAGGAACTTCTTCTATTCCAGGTCCCCCAGTGAAGACCGGGCTCAGCTTTCTACTATTGAAGCAGCTAGCGCGGAAGGTACGGTTGCGAGGATTGTATACACCATCTACGTAGGGATGGACATACTCTAGCTTGAAAGCAAGATCATCCTGTACATGTACGCAAATATGAAATGCAGCAGAAAAATATGAAACTTCATTATGAAAAAAAAAGAAAATAACAGAGGGGGTGACGGTCAATGTCAAATAACCTGGGGATTGAGAAAGTTGCTGGTGGTCACTGAACCAAGAAGTGACCTATTCAAACCGTTAATATTTCGGTGCTCAAAAGAAACAGTTCCTCCTGGTTGAATTGTAGCCTGAGCAGCAAGTACAAAAAAAAAGCCAATTAGCAACTGGAATAAAGAAATTGAATAAAATTGGACACTTTTTGTTTATGTTATTCACCAGTGTAGGACGCCCCGCACGACCTGGAACAATACTCCATTCAGAACTAACTTCAGCAGACTTCTGTTCAAGTTCCTTGAGCTTAATTTCGACGATAATTCCCCCCTCATTCTTCTCATCTGGACGTGGATTTACCTCGATGTTGGAGAAAAGGGACAGTGAATTTATATTTCGCAGCGCTTGCTTCCCAGCCTCAATATTAAAAACTTGCCCTTGACGGAGCTGCATAAAACAATAGCATCAATCCTTAGAGAAGCATAAAACAATAGCATCAATCCTTAGAGAACCAGTTAATGAAACACTCACATAAACACTACAAATTACAAACATGCGTAATCAAATCCAGATAAATACTAACCAACTTCGGTAATTCTCTCTTTATGACAGGGAACTGAGTATTCCCCTCGCAGACATTTCCAAGCTTGTCCTGGAACTGAATCACGAGCTGTGTAATATCACCCTCCACCACTTCACAAACAACCTCTTTTGTATTCAAATTCCCAAAATTCACAACTTGTGCACACGCATATCCATTCTCATGATACCACTGCTGCACCCTATCCCTAATCCTCTGCAACAATCTCGCGCTCACCTTGCCTTGGTCCCTCAACATCTGCAATATTTCCCTTTGCACAGGCGGTGGCAGCAAACATGGCCTTGACCTATCAATTCTCCTCCTATAATCCTTCTCCTGACTCCTGTAGAACTCCAATCTCTCCTTCTCCGTCATATCAGGATCCATTTCAATCGGCTTGGTCTGCTGCATAAGTCCCACATTAATGCACCTAAATTTATCAGCAGATTGCCACGTGGACTCAAGGAAGGGGATTGTTATGTTAATGGTGCCATCAGGATTTGTTTTTGTCTCCAAATCGACTTTCTCAAACATTCCGCACGTTGCAAGGGTTTCAAGCTCCTTCTGGAGCTGCGCTTTTGTGTAAACGCCCCCTGGACGGAGAGAAACCATTTCAAAGAATGAATCTTCGGTGCCAACGGTTGAGCCGCGCCTACGGTCAAAAAACAAAATGTCAGAGACTTTGTATTTCTTGAAGCCACTGAGCTTGTTCAGTTGAACCACAATGCTGGCAGGCAATCCATGGGAATCCCATTCTTGCTGGGGATCATCGTCTTTCGCGACAGCAGCAGGTGAGAAAAAGCGCCAGAAATTACCACCTGGCCCCCCGCTGCTTCCTCCGCCGCCTCCACCTCCGCCTCCACCTCCACCACCGTTACCGCCAGCTCCTCCGCCGCTGAAGTTGAAGATAGAATCGTTGCCGGATAAGACAGGGCTGGCAATGTGGAAGAGAATGCAGGACGCGGCGGAGAGAGCGATAGATTTGGATGAGATAACGGAATTGAGAAATGAATGCGGAGATTTCGAGGGTTTAGGGTTTTGCGAGGAGGCGAGAGATGGGAGATTGCATTGAATAATCGAATTGGGGGAGGGGAGGCGTGAGGCAACGGCGGTGGTGGTGGTGGAGAACTTAGATCGGCGGGATGCGGTGGAGGAGGTGAGGGGGAGGAGGTGAGTCGGGGCGGCGAACGACGACATTTGGTGGCGGGTTTACGATAAGACTGAGGAGTGAGAGAAAGAGAGAGAGCAGTGCGAGGGTTTAAAAATTGAGAAATTTCACTCTTTTATTATAGAGCATAAATAAATTTATATATTTAGTGAAAATAATTAGTATATATTATTTTTTAAAGAAAAATAGAGAAAAGCTCATTTTTAGGTTCACTTAAAAAATACATTTTCATTTCTCATTCAAAGAACGGATTTGTTTCGGATCAAATCCAAAAAGAATCGGATCTAAAATAAACCTATATGAATAGATCCAAAGTAAATCAGACCTGGTCCGATCCGGATGAAATCCACATATATGATTTATTACATTTTCAATTAAACTTATGTGATTGAATATTTGAACTTACCTGGTTAACACATTATACTCAATTGTTACACTTACACATATTCACTCTCATACGCATTCACACACTCCAATAGACTTTGCATGCACATGTATACACCACATACACATATACTCGAACACACTTTTGACACACACTCCAATATAATTTTTGTATATACACACTCCAACACCCTTTTCACACACACACTCCAACGCACTTTTCATACTCAAATCTATACACGTATACACATTTTTAGCACACGTACATATGGTTAGTACTCTTTATTTGTCGGCCCTACAACGAACGTAAAATGCTCCATTTTCTCATTAATGAGCACTCGATTTTTTCTCTAGTCTCCATATTTTCTATCTTAAAATCCTAATACAATAATTATAAATATTTGTATTGAAAATATAAATATTAAATGATTTAATTAAATAGTAACAAATTTAGATTCGTTTTAATAGAAGAAAGAGAAGGAAATAAAAATGTTACTAAACAATTCTCATCGATTCATCATTGAAAAGAAAATCAGATTTAAAAAGGAAAAAAAAAGTAGAAAGAAATAAAAATTTGTGAGGAATTAGTATTAAAAATTTTAGAGAAAAAAAAAGTGCCGGTTTTGTCGCGGTTTGGAACCGTGGTCAATGGACCGGGTTGGACCGTTTACGGTTCAAACTTCATACCGGACCGCGTTCATCTCTAATTACGACGACGGCGGAGTAAGTGCTATACGACAACGTTTTAAAGTCTGCCGCTAACTTGAAAATGGTGGAACGATGAGCCACCGATACCTTGCATTTTTCTCCCAACACCACGCCAGAAAACCATCAAGCTTTCTCCGCACTCCAAATCTCCTATATAATCGCCGCAAACGCTACTCCAGCACCGCCGCAGCTGCAGATACGGACCCAAATGCTGCACTGCAACGACCGGAGCTTTTACAGAACCCGTACATTCTTAACAAGATTATATCCTCCTGTGCGGAAACGGGTTCTCTCTCCATGGGAATTCAGCTTCATTCCCATGCCATCAAAATGGGATTTCACTCCAATATATATATCAGCACTTCCCTCATTGATATGTACGGTAAATGCTCAGCAACTTTCTGGGCCCACAAGCTGTTCGATGAAACGCCTGAAAGAAATGCAGTCACTTGGAACGCTTTGATGTCCGGTTACGTGAAATCCCGTGATCCCTGTACTGCTATTGAATTGTTTAGGAAGATGCTGAAGGCAGATGTTTGTATCACGCCCTTTGGTGTTTCGGCTGCATCGGTTGCGTGCGCGCAGATGGAGTGTAGTGAACTTGGGGCTCAAGTGCACAGCCTGAGTTTGAAAGTAGGGTTTGAGAGTAATATTGTGGTGGGCAGTAGTTTGATTGATATGCATGCAAAATCTGGGAATATGGAGGATTCCAGAAAAGTTTTCGATGGATTAGTTGATAAGAATGTTGTTGCTTGGACTTCAATGATTGCTGGGTACGCTCTTAATCAGTGCCCCGACAAAGCTATGATTTTGATCAAGGAAATGTCACGTTGTGGTCTTAAGGCGAATTATGTTACTTATAATAGTTTGCTGAGCTCGTTTCGTTGTCCAGATGATTTAATTCATTGCAAACAAATTCATTGTCGTGTCATTCGGGAGGGTTTAGAGGCTAATCCTTTCTTGAACACCACGTTAGTGATTATATATTCAGAGTGTGCATGTAGCTTAAGTGAGTTTTACGAAATTAGCTCTTGCGTTAAAGAATTCGATCAGATTGCATGGAACGCTGTTATTGCTGGATTTGCTAATTTTGATGTTGGTGAGGAAGCCCTCACGTGTTTTTCTAGAATGAGGCTGGCAGGTTGCGCCATTGATTTCTTCACATTTTCAAGCATACTAAAAGCATTGGGAAACAGTTCACTCCTTGAAGAGGGGAAACAAATCCATGCTCTAGTTTCCAAGACTTGGCACAGTACAAATTTATACGTGCAGAACGGACTTGTTTCAATGTACGCAAGATGCGGTAAAATCGACGATGCAAAGAGAGTATTCTCCTCAATGGACGAACATGATTTGGTCTCATGGAATTCGTTACTCACAGGATGCGCACAACATGGCTATGGCAGAGAAGCTATTCAAATGTTCGAACAAATGAGGAGTGGTGAGGTTAAGCCAAATTCTACGACTTTCCTTGCAGCACTAACTGCTTGCAGCCATGTGGGCTTGCTTGAGAAAGGCCTGGAATACTTCGATCTGATGAAAAGAGACAAATTTCTTCCACCTGCTCGGTTAGAGCACTATGCTTGTGTTGTAGACCTCTATGGTCGGGCTGGATTTCTGCACGAAGCCGAGGCTTTTATAGATAGTATTCCAATTGAGCGAGGGCCCTCTGTGTATAAAGCTTTGTTAAGTGCCTGTCAAATTCATAGTAATAAGGAAATTGCTTTACGTTCAGCCAGAAAGCTTGTTGAATTGTGTCCTAAAGATCCTGCTATTTATGTATTATTGGCAAATGTGCTGGCAACTGAAGGTAGTTGGAACGATGCAGCACGAGTGCGCAAGATAATGTGTGATAAAGGAGTGAGGAAAAAAGCAGGCTATAGCTGGCTATGAATTGAGACGTGTTGTTGATATGGTTATTTTGTGCCGATGCTATTCAGGCTGCGTTTGGCATTATCATGCTAGTGATATGACAATAACGACCCTGAAGTCGAATATATTGGAGCTTATGGATATTCAATATTTTATGATATCCTCTAAAGAATGTTTACTTGTCCAGGTAAAAGTGTATCTGTACTATACATGATGAAAAGGCTTTTGGACCCTTTCTTTGTATTGATTTCTAATGTTGTTTTGGTAACTATTCCTCCTTTCGATGTAGGCTGTGGCGACTGAATTCAATTCTGTTCACGGAGATTTGTCAGTGATCCACCAGAGAAAAGTTCAAGAACTGTAAGGTGAATGTTTGTCCGACAAGGAAAGCCATTTTAACAACCAGTAAGCAATGTTCAAATATTGTTTCGCATTTCATTTAGAATGTAAATTAAACTTGTGACATGAAGAGAATTTTCTCTACACTTTAACCAGACTAATTACATGAAAGTTGAAACACTCTAGTGCACACATGCGGACATCCTTTGGGTTCCGCTGTTCATTTTGTTGTATAATTTTTTTTTCTATTTCATATATATCTCCACAAAATTCCCTTCCGTCCGATCCTTAATGCACGTTTATTTCATACAACAAAGTTGCTACTGAGATTGGTTTTAGAAATAAATTTGAGTTTTAAGTATCTTCTTGTTGTATAAAACTTGCACAGAGCCCCCCTATGTGCATGAAACCTCCACTAATTAACAGCGTTAATTATTAACAGAAAAAGGGATGTTGCGTAAAGTAAAAAAAAGTAGAGGAGATTTTTACACGATATAATAAACAGAGATTTGGTGTGTTTTCCTTAACATAGAGGGTTAACTGTTGTCTACCACAGTCGTTTGTGTAAGCTAAATATGAACTGAATTTAGATATTATCAGTGTTGGAGCATTTTGATTTCTTATCAGGATTTCTGAATCAGGTGAATTTCTTATATGAGCTTTTCGAAGAAATTCCATGTCCCACCATTTTCACTGTCAGGTAAAAGAACTGTTTTTCATCTCAAATGAGTTAACCATAAATAGAAGAGTCAATTTTTATTTGACCAACCAAAAAAAAAAAAAGCAAACCAGCCCCCGTGTAAGTAGGATGATAGCAAAAGCACCATTGAGTCAATTGCTATTTTAGGTGATTCCACAACTTGTTGGTTAAGCCTTGAAATGAATAACTGGCTTTAGAATTATATACAGTCCATTGACGGATCCGAAATATAGGCCTCAAAATACGGTATAGCTTCTTCTTATATATCTTCCTCACTACACAATAACAAACTCATCGGAAAGTAGATTCGCTGCAATGGCTCAACTTGAAAGGCCGAAAAGATCTTATGAGAGCCCTAAAACGCCTCGATCTCATACTTCACCAACTTTTGAGCAGCTCCTAAGAGGTACGGCTTCTTCCATGACCTCCTCGATTTCACTATTCTTGTTAAATATAATTTAAATATAATTCTCTCCTTGCAATGACCAAAAAAAGGAAATATGGAAAGAACGTGTTTTACGTGCAAGTATATACAAGTAGATGCAATAAATTTCTTTGTTTAGCCACTGACACCAGAGGTGCAGAGTTTCTTGTTTGTTTTACATGATAACAGAGTAATTTCGTGTTTTTTTTTTAACGATGTAGTGGACGAGGCATTCTGGTCACCAACCACCACATCACCTGCTCCGGGAATGAATCATGATCAAGAAGGGTACCTCAGCCCTACACATAACAAGAAGTCCGTGCTAACCAAGGTAAAGGAAAAAGCTAAGAAGTTAAGGTATAGTCTTAGTGGCAGGAGGAAGCATGAAAATGAGCAGGGTGACGATAACAATACCCCTCCATGGGGTGTTAGCTTGGAAGATGATAGTGACGAGGATTACGAAAACGATGATGATCCTGAGTATCTTGGAGCTCCGAGTAATTTTCTTTGCCAATTTGATTTTTTTTTTTCTCTTTTACTGTTAAGTGTTGTTTGTTTGGAAAGATAAGTCTTGATTAATCAAATAATTGGGCTGTATTTGACATTTAGTTAGCCGATTAATGTTCTGTTTAACCTGAATTGATATTTTGTCCCATTGATTCCCAGTGTACGAGTCTGAAGCAGCACCAGAGATTTTGAAAGAGACAGCTAGGCAGCATCCTCGAGCAGTGCCTGTGGTTTCCGAGAGTCACAGGGTGCCAAACATGAACAAACACGAGCACGAAGAAAAAAAACCCGTCAGCCCAAACACGACCTTATCTGAAAAACTGGTGCCGGCATATACGGCCATGTCTGATGCAACCCACAAAATCGCTTCTAGGATTGCCGGTCTTACTATCGCAACTCCAGATGCACAAAAGACGACAGGCGTTCATGTTCTTTCCCATGATGAAATGATCGAGAATTTGAATTCGGGAAGTCTTAAGCAATACAATGCTGCAACGACAAGTCCTCAAACATGGGATAAAGGTGTTTCTGTGAAGGAGTATTTCATGAACAAGCTGGAGCCCGGAGAAGATGAACGAGCACTTTCGCAGGCAATAACAGAGGCTATTAGTCCGAGGAAAAGTACTAGTGGAGATACCGGTGGTGTGGTGGAGAAGGTGAAAGATGCTGTCACTTCGTTTTTCCGGCATGAAGAAGAAAATCCCTCCGATTCTGTGGTGAAGTCTGCAAGCTTATCTTCTTCGAATAATCCGAGTCATATTCCATATAATCGCAGCACTTCTCAAACCATTTCTCGTTCTTCGAAAGCTTTCCACCCCTCCACTTCCAAGGCCAACTCCACACCTGTCACCCCACTCTCTTACCGTGCTCGTGATGGTAGTTTACTCTTTTACTTGATTCTTTATACTATTATACTACAATACCGATCTTCTAACAGTGATATTCTGATAGTCGTCGACCTTTGAATTTTGGCTAGGAAAATTATGACATTATCAGAGGTTTATTGTTGATTCAAATTAGAAAAAAATAATGGGTTTTTTTTTTAAATAACATTTTTGGCACTAAAACTTGTCGTTCGAACATTGATTTGCTGACTAAACACTGATGAGGATCTTGTTACAGTTCTTGATGAAGAAAATCATGGAAAGGTACTCCAGTCCAACTGAAGACTCGTTGACACGGTAAAGACTAAAGAATCAGTTTCGATTGATTTTGGATTGCTTTCGATTTCGCCTTTATACCCACTCTGGCATCATGTTGACACCTGCTATAAAATAGGATTTAATAGTGTGCTCTTATAGATTTTTTTTTTTATTTTTTTTTCTAGTCGAACCCCGCCTTGTTTTGGCAGAGGATTTCACATATTCTACCGGTTAGTTAATCGTTAAAAAAAAGTGCAGAAGGCAAAAATGCAGTATCTAGTCTATCTTCATTGTCGTGTAAATATTTATTTATAAACAAAAAACCTGTTTTCTGCAAAACTTGAATTGTTCCGATAACTTTATCAATGTGTGTGTGTGTGTGTGTGTGTGTGAGAGAGAGAGAGAGAGAGAGAGAGAGAGAGAGAGAGAGAGAGAGAGAGAGATTACAAACTTGCCAATATAAACACTTGCAAAATAACTTCATCCATAAAATATACAGTTGAATGATCTCTGAAATATCAACACTGAGAAGCAATAAAGTATACACATCAAGGCACTGCTTAAGGGTTTCACTTCAAAATTTTGGACTCGATTTCTTCCAAGGTCAACCCTTTGGTCTCCGGAACAATCAGTACCACAAACACAAGCGCAAGTAGTGCTATTGCCCCAAATAAAAGAAAAAGATTATCTGCTCCAAGTAACTCCTGCAGATATAGATATATATGTATACACATGTTCTTACACTTGCCGATATTGAAAGGAAACGAAAATGAATTCGCGATTATAAGAATGCTTTTCGGTACCTTGAGTGGAAAGAAAGCGAAGGTTACTAGAGCATTTGACCCGAAATTCGTGAGTACTGAAAGACTAATACCCTTTCCCCTCGTACGCAGTGGGAATATTTCCGACACCATTAGCCAACTGATTGGTCCAAATGAAATCTGATAATATTTTCAATAACAAGGAAATATATTGTTTAGTCATTCGTATATGGTTTCACAGGTCATCGGTATATTACATTACTGTGACTAGGAGGAAATACTTCATTTCAAATAACAAGAAATCTATTGTTTAGTCATTCATGTATAACGAAATTCAATATTAGACGACATTGAATCACCTGATAGCAACCAACGTAGAGAAGCAAAGCAGCTACAGCAACAAAAGGAAATCCTCCTAGGAACTTGTAGTAGGCAGAAAGTAGCAGCAGAGAAAAGGCCTGTGACCATTTTGCAATACGAAGTTCAATATAAGCATAAACTCGCTTAACGTAATAAACAAGAAGTAGAACACGGCCAATAATTAAATACTAAATTACATACAAGCCCACCAACACCTCCTATGAGAAGGGGTCTTCTCCCTAGATCATCAACCTTTAGGACAGCTACTCCAGTCATAAGCAACTGCAAGAGGAGAAGATCGATATTATTACAAAACCAGTTACTTTGATGGAAGAAAAAAAGCAAAAGTTTCGGCATGAGAAAGACATTGGTTACTACAAGTACCTTAAATACACCAATGACAACTGAGAGTTTTGTAGCATCGGCAGCTGCAGCAAATCCAGCAGACTTTGGACAAATGAAGAGATTGAGATTGATGTACCAAACACTCAAACAAGAACAGCAGAGATAAAAATATTTTTTCGGATTTGAAAGAAATAGAAAGACTTGTAAATATCAAGTACCTGAAGAATGGGACCTGCGTAGTACAGAACACTAGGCTGACCAGTAATCTGACATAGTTACACACAGAGCCATATCGTTGTACTTCCATTAGAAAACAAAACAGGAGAAGAAAACAATAAAATATAAATATAAATATAAATATATATACCTGCTGAAAAAGGACCAATCCTCCACCTATTATAAAGGCTTTTAGACTTGGCCCTTGAAAAACCTCAAGAAAATTTCCTTCCGAATCCTGATCGGCATACGCAGTTTTGAGGGAAACGACTGTGTCTTCAATTTGCTTTTCAGATACTTTGTCGTCATTAGACCTGCCTCTTAGTTTTCTCAAAGCAAGGACGGCTTTCTCTTTGTATTCTTGTAAGGGCCCTTTACCTTGAACAGCCCTAAGAAGTAACCACCGCGGAGATGCTGGGAGACTCCACATGCCTATCCCCATAAGCAACGCAATTGGGGCACTGCACCCATACATGTAACGCCACCCTCCAACAGCATTTATTTCAAAACTGCCAACCAAATAACCTAACTGTATATATACAGCAGCATTTCTTCAACATTCAGCCTTCTGTTTTCATAAAGTCGACTACGAAAAAAAATTATTTGGCTCGGAGAAAAAGAATTACCAATATCCCCAGGACTATTAAAAGCTCTTTTAGAGATATCAATGTTCCGCGAATTTGAGATGGACAGGTCTCCGCTATGTAAAGAGGTGCTCCGTGCATTGCCTTCAAAATGTATCTGGTTAAAGATCAATTGATGATTTATTGGTGGATTAAGGATATATATAGAAACCTCACCATTCCAATACCAAGACCGTAGAGAAGCCGAGCTACCAAAAGAACTCCAAGGCCAGGAGCATAGGCAGTCAACAAAGCACCAGTCAAATACAATAGGGATGCAATGATAAGTTCTCTCCTTCTCCCTACACATATATGATATATCAACAAAAATAATTCTAAGATATTCACTGTGGAGACTTAAGTATGAAGAGTGTAACTAAATAATAGAGTACCAAGGAAATCAGCTAGGGGATAAACTATGAGGGATCCAAGAAGAGCTCCATAGAGGGAGCCGCTAACCTTGATTAAGAAACAGTCAAAAACGAAGAGTCAACGAAGTATGTCAACTTTTACCAGAAAAGGAATGCATCAAAAAGTTAAAGCATACCACTAAACCAAGTTGAACAGCTGAAAAGTTGAACCAGGTTGTTCCGCTAAGCTCAGGTGACTGTAAGATAAAAAGTAAAATTAATTATAATCCCATTAATGTCCAGGACGTATTTAATGGGAATAGTATCTCACCTGTAATGAAATTGTAGCTCCAGAAGTTGCACCAATATCATAGCCGAATAGCAAACCACCCAGGGCAGGGAACAGAAATCTGTCAATAAATAAATGGTGAAAGCTTAGAGCTCCATTTCATCCCGTTTCACTAAAGAGAAGCTATTGCAAGAAGAGAAATGTCCATTGTTAAACCCAAAAGGTAATCAAGAAATCTAATGAAAGACAAGTATTTCCGATCATGATAATATTTTTTGCACTTTGTAATAGGAAAAGCGATATTGATCTTTAGGCATAGCAAACACTCCCTGCATATAGACGTTCCGAAACAAACTTTCAATCTCCCTCCCCCCCCCCCCCCCCCCCCCCTAACAGTTTAAGCGCCTTATCAGCTTCTAATCAATTTTGATCGCAAGGAATGCTACGGTTTAGTTCGATTAAGATAATATAAACTTGGAGATTTTTGTATGTTTATGCCACAAATCCCATCGCAATTTCAATTCATGAATTCTGCAACCATAAAATCAAGACTTGGAAAAACTCCTGCACTCTCTGTTTCAGAAATTCTAACATTTCACAAGTTCCTTCTGACCAGATTACGGAGAACCTTGATCTAACGAACCAAGTGTAAGACACTTCTTTACCACTATTCTCATTAATTTTGCTTGCAGAAAAGTAATACATTCACTTGGAAAAATAAAATCAACAGAACTCACCAATAAAATAAAAAACTGTAATTAACAAATTGTACAAAATCCAACTCTAATTAACCATCACAGAAAGAAGACAAAGGACTCACGGTAGGATAACAGAGGACCAAGCAAAAACCTCTTGTTGTGTAGCTTCAGAATCAAACGATTCAGCTTCGCCGGAAGAAACCCCAACCTAGCAACAACAAAAACGAAAAATGGAACAAATTTCTACAATAAATTCAACTCCATTTAACCTAACCCCCAAAAACTGAAAACTTAACTTCATTCTGAAAATTACCTTAATCGAATTGCGCTTTGTAGAAGACCGTAACAAAGACATTCTCAATCCTTTATCATCAGCCAAAAAGGAGCAGCTCCGATAACGGAGGGTGCGAGTGTTACTATCTGTAACGGAATTGACAGGATTGCATTTCCTGGTAACGCAGTAATGCGTTAGTGATTGCTTGTTGAAGAGCTTGAGATTCAACAATGGCGGAGCACAAGTTAGAGCCATTTGTGCAGGTACAATATCAATATCATATATATACAGAATTTGCTTTTTTGCCTGCTGCAATCATATGATTTGTTTATATATGGAACTTTGATTATTTCTTTTTTTTTTTTTTTTTTGGATGAAGAAGTTGATTATTTCTTGTGGTCAATGAGTGAGTAGTGCATGTACTGATAAATTCGCTTCGCAATTACAAGCAATTTTCTTTTTTTCTTTTTTTCTCCGGAGAACTTGATATTATCTGTAATTGGGGTAAAATTAAATTACGAAGCCTAAAAACAAATCTTATGATCGTCTGTGGAGCTCGAATGGAGGAAAACAGGTACAAAAACAACTTGACATTGCGAGAGTGAACGTGTAAGAAGATTTATAGTTGATGGATGGTTGTAATCACCAAAATATGAGAGTTTGTTATCATACTTTATCTTGTCTTTTAGGCAGTTTTATTGGACAAGTTCGATAAAACAATTGAATTTTCATTAGATTATTTTATATCTTTATCATGACAATCAAACGAGGCTTAATAGTTAGTATTGCAAATTGCAAACGATGACTTGATTCAATAAATCCCATATGATTCCCAACAACTACATATGCTAACAGCCACAAGAACCTTTTTTCATCGCAACTTAATAACAGAAACCATATTTTGCGCTTCCCACACATGAATGAATATAGGCTTCTGTCTTCCCCCGTGTTTTCCTCTCCCCCCTTTGCCACAACTCAAAACAACATTATTAAATTTTTATTTTTATTTCTAAAAAACCTGGCCATTGATGTTTATATGCTTCTTCTTCGATCGAAAACGTTTCCATCTCATGGAAAGAAGCAAGAAAGAGCACAATAGCAACAAGAAGACAAGGAAGAACAAGCTTCCTTCCTCCACGGCTACGAGGATGCAGAAACAGGCCCCGCCTGCACTAAAAGTCAACACAAAAGTCCTCCGTGTCGAAATAGACCCGTCCGCCGCCCCAAACGCCATCCCCTTGCTATCACCCCTCTTCCTTTCTCCAGTGGCCGCGGCGGAGGAGGAGGAGATGAACGGCAAAGGGAAAGAGTTGGCGGCAGGCGGGGGCAATGAGGTCATTTCCAAGGGCTGGAAATTTGCTGCTGCGGTAGAGCCTTTGAAGATGGATGCTCTGTTGCAGTCTGAGTGCATGCTCGTCAACAATATCTGAAGCTCTCTCTCGTCTTCTCGTCTTATATGTATCGTATTGTGTCGTAATTTCATGGCCATGGTTTTGCCATAATATAATACCCATCTGGGTTATTTTTAGATTACTCCTGTTGATCGAATCTTACATCGAGTATCATTAAATGACAATGTATGCATAAACTACGACGTACAGAAGTAAATTTGGTAAATAATTTGCAACGTGAAGTGCTAGTATGTTTAACTAATAGAAAAGTGTGTTTGGTGTCAATACAAAAATCTTCCAAACGTGCTGGAAATGAAATTTGACATGAGTCAAGATTAATTGAAGCTTTAAACTCTAACGGTGGAGCCAAAACCCAGTATTTACATAAGGTCATGACATTCTATTTCTTCAGAGTTTCTCATTCGATTAGAGAGACCAAAGACGATGAAAAGAAACGAAATATGACTGTTTTTTTTTCCCGCTGAACTGAGCAGGCGGAACCATTTTTGCCTTTTCTCCAACAAAATCAGAAGTCAAATTCTCCTGTTGCCTGAGAAAGGAGAAACCGGCAGCCCAAACACAAACGATGAATTTCCAGACGAAAAAATGAATAAGCAATGAATTATGTAAAGACGAGAGCAACACATACCTTGTTGAACAGAATATCTTTATTGTTAATGTGCATAATGCCATCCTTCAACGTGCACTTCCACCTGCTCTTAGTTCTCGTCACCTAAAACAAGTATCCATTTTTTTTAAGAATATAAAAAGATGAATGGATCGGAAACCATGAAAAATCAACCAGCTGGGAAAAAATATGGTTAAGTACCTTATCAAACTGAGCCAGAACCAAATGGGTTGTGTTCAGATCCTCCCCTTCGTCCAATTCATCACCATCATCGTCATCATCTTCGTTCAAGGGTTCATCCTCGTCATCATCTATGACATCATTCTGTACTGGAGCAGGAGTTGCTGCTAGCATCTCTAGCAGCACAAAACGGCACGGAATTAACATTGGACATAACATAGGTTAAGGCATGATGCCAAACTGGTTCAAATTTGATTATCAATGTTACCATTTGGCATAGGCGTGTTCACTATGTTGTAGTCTTCATTGACAACTCCTCCTTGATAATTGTATATCTACAAAGGTAAGCGGGGAAAGCAATCAAGTTAGTTTAGAGAGAGTAATTAACAGTAATTAGATGTTATATACTGTGACGTATCTTACAGTGGAAACCAACATATAACGGTCACAAAAATTTTAACGTAGAAAGTTATTGAGTAGAAAAAAATCAAACGATATAGACGACAATCAAGTTTTTTTAATTCCTTCAAAAAAACGTCAATTATAGCAAATTCCTTCGCAACACTCAACACCCGCACAAACCCAACCACCCACCCCCCAGCTCTGTCGTGCGTAAACCTTTAGCCTTTAAACCAGGAAACTGAGTTGGATTACAAACAGAGACCCAGCCTTCAGACATCTTCATTGGTAACAGTTCCCACCAATATCTGAATCACATATACTGACCGGTCCAATTTAACATCGGAATAAATAACTTAATGTAGACATAAAGACCATAGGGCATCAATTAGTTACTCAACTTCAAAATCAACGTAACTTTGTTCTTCTGAAATTCCAGACAATGATAAGCAATACAATGATTTATAAACCTACAGTCATAGAACTGGAAACTCACGTTAGGTGTAGAAAGCACATCATCATACGGGTCAGGTATGGGACCATCAGACTGAGGGATCCTAGAAGATGATGTTCCCCCTTGACCAATGACATCGAGAACCACCTGTAAAATGAAAATTAGAAACTCATGAAGCTTCATTTAATAATTAATAGAGAAGAAAACCATTGTCCTAGGAGGTTGAAAACCGTTCAACAATCCATTGAATAGGCTAGCACAGTGGAGAGTAAATCATCAGAGGTATGTTCCTTCCAATAATTCTGAGAATAAGATTACTAAGCAGACTGGTATGTTCCTTCCACAACAATCTGAACTTGAGTAAGATATATAAAATTGGATAGCCTCTGCTTCCAAGTACAATTGATAAGGAAGCAGATGGAACTGTGTTTCAGTAGGTAGATTCTATATGCCCATTTTGTCACATGGAGAGAACTTCAAAATGTTTATCTAAAACTGTAGCACTAGATCCTTTGGTTCAATGCAGGACGAAGGGAAGTGCAAAAGAAGCGGGAGTATAACTTCCCATACGGTACATACGTAGTTTCCTTCAATGTAACGCTTTAAATCCAGGGAAGTATCGGAGGCGGTATTAATGTTTCTGGTTCTACTTATTAACCATGTTTTTCTCTTTATCATTTACTAAGAGAGTTCTCATAACTGATAATTAACTGAAACTTCAGATTTGAAAACATTTTCAGCAACATTTGCACCAGTAAGTAGAAATGTAGGAAATATGAAATATTTTGTGAAAGACATTGAAAAACTACAAAGCTTTTCAATGTATTGGAGCAGTATTGAATTAGTTGCAGGTGGTGTCCCGCTTCTTTTTTAACTAGGAATTTAGCTCTACAAAAAGGAGAAGATACACATCGATACACTTCCATTTTACTGCAGGAAAAGGTAACCCGTGAATAAAGGCAAGTAAATCAAAATTCTAGTATGTAGAAATACTAAGGCAAGTACAAAATTACAAAGAAGGCATATCACCTTGGCCTTGCTGAACATATGTTGTTCTATGTGCATTTAGGACATCATATTTGTATTGCCTTAACAATTTTGCGTGTAAATTATTCATCTATGAGACAACCTACAGATTACACAATAGATCTAGCAATTTTCTTGAAGTAGCAAATGTAAATCAACAGTTAAGTTGTTCAATGGTGCGGTAATAGATTAAAACATATCAAATAAGTTCATTAAGGAACTCTCTGCTACGTACAGCCTGACGTTTTCAGTAATGAAATAAACAGTGAATCAATGCACCAAAAAATCTACCTTCATTTCATCTGACAGATTGTCTCCAGCTCCATCCTGCTGTGGAATGTATCCACCAGCTTGGTATTGTGGAGGGAAGTTATCCCGTTTTCTCTTTCCAGAAGCCACAAAGAAATCCTGCAATTGTTTCTCAATTGCTTCTTCAACATTTATGTATATTACTGAGTGAAAATACAATGACTATTCGAGAAAAGGAAGTCTATTGCATACAAAGAGACTAAACAAGACACCCATTGACCCATAAGAATGTTGTTTCTTATTTTCTTGTATTCTTTTTTTCCAGAAAGGATAGTACCTTATTCCTAAAAGTAGAAACCACAGAATAGGTGAATGTTACACCCTTATAATTAAATAGTATATGATTGACTTAATCATTCCGGCCATAACACATACAATGCCAAGAAATGAGCCTCAAATATTGATAGAAGCAACAAACAAAAAATAAAGTAACATTCATTACATTATGCAAGGTATTTTACATGCTCAACTTCCAAACCAATGATTCCCAGAGATAATCACTCTGTTTATGATGTTAATTGTGTCGCTAATAGAAGTTCTTTTTTTCTTTGCAGATTACTTAGAGCCTATTTTGTTCTTAGCCATAAGAAGCAAGGGTGTGAACAAAGCTGATTTTTAAATTTTATAACGAAAGTTGAACCAGACATCTTAAACAAGAACAGAGTGTATCTATATGTAAATACATCGACAGGGATGGTAGAGGATGAATCTTCAAACTAGGAGACTCAGCTACATGTGCTCGACTGAATACCCTACAAGGAGCAGCCAGATACATCTGATCCCTATGATCTTCCTATATCCCACACCCAGTTGTCCATTATACAAGATCCGAGAACTTCCACATTCAGATAAGAGTTTTAAACTTATCACCCTAAAAAAAACCAGCAAAAAGATTTGTATCGGTCTATCTTGCAGTTCAAGAGACCTGTATTACGGAACTGATATATAGAATGAATAGTCCAAAGCTCATTCAGGGATTGAGAAGACACACGGAATTTTTTATGTTGAAGACCACCTAAAGTTCTAAGATCTCAGAACTCTAGAGCCAATGCAATGAAATTTACAACATGACCCAATTATCTAGCCCATAATGCAGCAGCAGCAAGTAGCATTTAGTAATGTTCAATTAATCCAACAAAATCAAAAGGATGAAGTAGTTATCTAGATGCAAGTAGCAATAGATGTTTTGGCATCTGCCCATACATGGAAAGCATTTCTACTGCTAAGGTATTTGCTTCTTTTGCAACTAAAAGTTCTTAATAAGTGGCAGTATTATAAGACCACAACTAGCTTTACCAATTAGCATCAGCAAGCAATCTGTCCTGTAACCAACAAAAAATAATGGAACTGAATGAGGAATGACAATCACCTGAGTTGTTTGCTGATGAGGGCCCCCCCTTTCACTCTCTTCACGACCTTCCACATAAGCTTGAAAATAAATAGAAACAAGTTAATATGATGAACCAGAGAGATCAATAAGCTGCCTTCCACTAGTTTACATCTTTATATAACACTATCGCCTGTTTTGCATCTCTATGTAGATACTACTATAAAATACTTGTTTATAAGGATTCTACCATTATACTCACCAACATTCACATCAAGAGGAGGCCTCTGATTTTGCCAAGGCGAAGGCGGCTGCTGCAGGATTGAACATAAAAAAAAGAAAAAAACAATTGCACACCATCAAAAGGAAAAAAAGAGACTCCAGAACTCCGAGATGATCTTATAATAAGCAAGAGGGTCTCAATACGTATAATCACGACCTCAGACAACATAATTCAGGGTGAACAAACAAGGCAAATGTGAACAAACTTCTTAACTAAACATGAGAAAAGAGTTGCACCACCTCAACAAGAAAGAAGGTTCAAGGCTCAGGAAATGATAATACCATGTATGGGCTAGGTCTTCCAGGTCCAGCCTTCACCTCAGAAACACCAACATTGTCGTTCGGAGACACGTACTCATTAGGGGTGATTGGGGTGCCACCAGTGGGAATATTATACAGTGAACCACTATCGCTTCCAGTAAGAGGAGTCTGAGCTGTTCCAGGCAACGGCGTTTGAGCCATTCCAGGCAGTGGTGTCTGTGCAGTTCCGGGCAGTGGTGTTTGCAACGGAGTCTGAAAATCAAAATCATTGTACAGAAAATTAAAAAAAAAAAAAAAAAAAAAAAAAAAAAAAAAAAGATATACCACAGAAAATCAAAATCATGTAGCCAAAAAGGGCCTCACCGGGGGAAAAAGTAAATCAGCAGTGGGAGTTTCGTACTCCTCGGTCCCCTCATACGGTACGTTCAGGTCATGCACGGGATTGGGGGTGATAGGACCCCCTGCCCCCTTTTGAGATGCCGACCTGTCTATGGGACCCAGTATCGCTCCAGCTTCCATCATCTTCAGTTCCCATAACTGCAGATTTCCAACAAAAAACCGGTCAACAGTTCTATTACAACTACAGATCCGAGAATTTCAAAACCCTAAACCACCAAAATCCGTCCCAATCATACATCGAGTACGGGTAATTTTAATATTTTCTCCAAGCCCTAGAAATTTGACGGAAATCAAAAACTGAATCAACAACGAGTTTAGAGATCATACTCCTTGGAGCTCGCTGAGTACGCCCTCGCCTGGGCCGCCGCCGCCGTTGAACTCGTCACGCACCTTGTTTATGACGTCCTCTATGACATGGATGTACACGTTGGACGTGGTAGAGCTCGCCATTCTCGCGGAAATTGGAATTGGAGAATACAAATACAGAAATATATATATAAAGAGAGAGGTAGAGAGAGAAAGAGAGAGGGAGAGAGAGAGAGAGAGAGAGAGAGAGAGAGAGAGAGAGAGGCGGAGATATAAAATTCCCGACAGAGGGAGGGGAGAGAGAGGAGAGGAGGCGGAATAGAGAGGGAGATAGAAGATGTGGAATATAAATAGGTTTGCATCCTTATATCGGGCTTGAGATCCACGTGGCGGTATCTGATAGATCTGTATTAATTTTTTTTTTTTTTCTGTTTTATAATTATTTTGCGATAATCTTATAAAAGCCCAAAGCCCATACATTAATTCCAAAAGAATATCCAATTTTCTTTTTTTACAAATGAACACATTTATTACTATTGTTTTAACAAAATTAGCCAAAGCCCCCTTTATACCCGATTTATGATCGAAAATCCTAATTTAACTTCAATTTCACGTATTCATCAATTTTGGACCATTGATTACCACAGACAACCGTTAAACGTCGTTGACCATCGATGGCCATACTAAATATTGTATGAGTCTACCCACTCTACTAGTTTCGTCGACCACTGAAGCTAGTGGTTCAAGTGTAGTCGACGAACCACATTTTAAGAAAGGTCTTGAAATACCAAAGTTGTACCCGATAAGCATGGTGCTTTTGATATTTGTACAGATGTCCAGAGCGCCTGGAGCGCGGCAACGACTTTCGACTTCGTAATCACACGACAACAGTTGCATGATTGGGATATAACGCCATTTATTACCGAGGCCGTGGAGATAGTTGGATTGATGTCGGTTGTAAGTGTCTCGTACAAGAATGTGGATGATCATCTACTGAGATCCTTCGTAGAGATATGGCAGACGGCTGCCAACAATCAACTCCCATTCAACATTTCGATATTTCGTACTTAATTTTTTGCCTTTTTCATCTAAAAGGACAATTGCGTTTCTTTGAATCGCTGCTTCTTTTCCTGATTGTTGGTTATCTTCACCGACCACCTTCTTACCAATAAACGGCCCACGCTCACAACCAAGAACCACATACGGTCCCCTGCGTATTTTCCCCGTCATTCGAAACTACAATCATCATCACCATTCCGGTCATTTACATACTCCACAAACCCATTATGGTAAAACTTTTTTGTTGTAAATACAACAAGTAATATGTTAAAACCATTTGAGGGATCCACCTACACAAAAAGTACAACTTAATAAATTTACAACCGACAATTTTCTGACACTTACTGGTCGAATTGTTGAGATATTTCGACATGTAGATGTCGGATAATTCGATAGGAAATGTTCGAAAAATAATTTGTTTTTTTTTTTTTTAATTTCGACACGTACATATCTAAAAAAAATGACGGGCTTTGATTTCTTTTTTTTGAAAACCGACTTACAAGCTCAAAAAACATTTGAACATACTTTAATTAACTATAAATTACTATTTTGTTGTTTTGTATTGCATTCGTGTAAAATTTGTGATGCTTTGATTTCTTTAG